TTCGCCTGTTATTTTTATTTTGATTCTATTTTTTTGAGGGGAGCAGAGAGCAGACCCTTTTGACATTATGCATTGAGAATGTAGTGTGCATGGTATGAAGCAACCCAACACAAGTCAGTCGTCCATACTGCTTTTTCTCTTGTATTGATGTCACTGCTTACACAAACTCCTCCTACAAAATTTCCTTGCTCTCACCTCTCAATTATTATTAATTACCATTGTTATTACTTGATTCATTACATAATCTTTTATTAGAACCAAGGTCTAAAATAATGATGGTATTGGAAATATCAGTGGTCCAAAAATATGGAAATTTCAATGGAAATATCGGGATATTATCAATATCAATAAAAATTGAATAAAAACCAAGGAAATTATAAGAAAAACTTGAAAATTTTTATTGAAACTTTGGAGGATGTTTATTTAGTCAATTATCTATTAGTTTATCACAAAAAATTGAAATGAAATGCATTGTATGATGGGTTTAACTGATTTAAGTTGATTATATAGCGAGTTGACAAACACTGTGAGTGTAGAAAATATGTAGTAATTAATGAAAGAAGATTAAACACACCATAATCATTTATATATAATGATTTACTACAATATTTTACACTTTATACATTGCATGGTAAGATACATGAATGACTTAGTACCACATAGAGTTCCCCTTCGCTTATTATCATAAAAACATAAGCAACATAGTGGTTAAGGTGTTGGAGGAGTGAAATGGTAGGAGTTCGAATCCCATTTGCCCGTTTGCTTTGTGTTTTTTTTTCTTTTCCATTTTCCCATTACATCGATATTTTTGAGATTATAGCAATATTTTGACAAATTGCTGAAGTGTGAGCGAAATTATAGACATCGATATTTTCCGATATTATCAATATTTATACGATATGTGTATGGATAAGTTCCGAAATATCTGTGACTCGAAAAAAAGATAATATCCTCGATATTATCGATATTTTAGACTATGATTAGAACTCAATCATTGATCTTTAGGGCCAACTTTGTATTGTATTTCACTAATCCAAGCCATCTATTTTTTTAGATAATCATTCAAAGATCATCTCTACAAAAAATCACTTGAATCCGATATCATTTGACCACTCAATTGAGTTATTGAAATTTTAGTACTTTCTTGAAGCACTGTGTTCATTAATTTTGTAAGACACAATTGGATGTCGAAACGTTTTCCGATTTGTCTAATTTTTTGTAAGGATGATCTATGAATGTAGACTTAAAAAAATAGATAGTTTGGATCGTTGGAAAAAAATTCGTACGATACCATAAAGAGTGTCCTTATTTGAAGGATCTCTCAATAGAAATCGACTGATATATATCCAATTAAAATAAACCTTCTCTTATTAATCCTTAACTTGCCTACCTTGTGAGAAATTAAGACTCATAATTCTCCTCATCCTTCTTTTCAATAACGTTTTGACAATTTACATGGAGACACATACGACCAAACTCTTTTTTTTTTTTTTTTTTTTTTTTTTATATATATATATATTAAATGACAAAAATGGCGGCAAAGTGTGCAACACACAGACGACCAAACTTTGACATATATGGGTACTTCCAAAGTACCAAATCATAATTAGAATATAATCCACAATTAAATGAACTTATATTTCTTATATATGCAATGTGAGTAGTCATCTTTTTATTGCAAAATACTATATATATATATATATATAAAATATACAGAGAACTTCCATTGAGGGATCCCTTAAATAAGCTTATTTGAAAGACACCTCTTGTAGGCCCCACTCCGGATTGTATTTCACTAATTCAAACCATCTATTTTGTAGATACTCATTCAAAAATCATCTCTACAAAAAATCACTTGAATCTGATATCATTTGACCACTCAATTGAGTTATTGAAATTTTAGTACTTTCTTAAAGCACTGTGTTCATTGATTTTGTAAGACACAATTGGATGTCGAAACGGTTTCCAATTTGTCTAAATTTTTGTAAGAATGATCTATGAATGAAGACTTAAAGGGCGTCCCTCAAATAAAATTATTTGAGGAATCCCTCAATAGAAGGGGACTGTATATATATATATATATATGTGTGTGTGTGTGTGTGTGTGTGTGTCGGTATATAAATAAGATAATGAATGATTGCTAAACTTCTCCTTTGTATTGACAAATCAACTAAGAGTTTTCAAAATATGTCAACATGGTCTGATTAGAAAAATTGAAATTATTAATTAGCCAACCAAACAAGAACAGAAGTCAAGATAATCCATTTGTAAACAACTACATGTGATATTAACTATGCATTATTTGAGTCGGCCCGGTTTGACTTATAAGAAATTAAAGTTGCTTTGTCCAGAAATAGATTGAATACTTCAATTATTTTTTAACTTTTTTCTATTCAAGAGTCATGTTTTTCTTGTTGCCATCAACAACATTGCATTACAACCATATATAGCGCGAAATGACCTGCACAGATAGCTTGTAGGTCCCAAATATAATCTCTTATTTTGTCACAAAAGAAATTTAAGAATCAAGGTTAACTGCTGTGTACGCCAACTGACTGTTCGTCGGTCTAGTGATATTTCTTCTCTCAATATTTAAAGATGTATGAAACTTAAATCGTAAAGAAAGGAAAAAACTCTTAAATGTGCAATATCTTTTTTAATCTTGAATTTTCATGTTTCAATAATTTGTATATGACCAACCCAACAACCGTCCTTTGAGCATTGGCTGCTCTAACAATCTAAGGATGCGCCTCACAACTTCACCAGAAAAGAACTTTGCATGACATCATGGCTTGGGCATCCACTGATATGGGATCGAATGGTGATGAAACCCGAATCGGAATTGAGATCAACAAACATGAGAGAGGGGTGGTACTTTGTTGACTATGTAAATCAAATACTCATGAACATTTAGGATATTGGTCTTGTATCGAAATCCACCAGAGTCATCATCCAGCAAAATTCAACTAAATTAAAGAATTTCAAAATTACAACAGTTTCTATTTAAATTCTCTTTTGTTGCTCTCCCATCGGACATAATTAGTGTTCAGATTTCATTCTGATGCCGCAGGTAGTGTAAATTTTCCTTTTACTAATTTATCAGCGCACATATTTCATTTAGATCAGAACAATAACTCCTACGGTGGTCCTATACCCTAAAATAATCAATCATGTTTGAAATGGAATATAAAAAAGGGAAAATTTTGCTACTATTGGAGCATTTGCTTTGAAACCAAAAATAGAGCAACATTATTTGCACTTCAAATATGTTAATGTCAACAAAATATTATAGATCCTTAAGTATAATTCAGTTTGGACCGATTGGAGTTGAATGCAAGCCCGTCTTTATGAGTCTAATTTCAAATTTCAATCCTAGTATACCGTAACGATGGCCAAAACATTTGATTGAAAAAGCTCACGTTTGAACGCAGCCTAAAATACTATTTATGAAATGCAGAAGCGGGTATGGGAGTGTGAGTAGCAACTACCAATGATATCGGGATTTGAGAAGGTTAGTGATTGACTGAGCAAACACAATGTGAGCTTGACTTATGCTTAGGCCAGCTGTTCATGACTTGGTCAATCTTGATTAACTTTGTTAGTGCGAACTTGTTTATCTCCTTTTGACTTGTGGAGCATATAAGACATACCTGATATCATTTCTCTATCGATCTGTCTCCACAAAACTACTGTGTGGTGGCACTTTTTGACATCCTCTCTACATGAACTTACGTCCTTAATATTAGAGACATGTATGCTTTAGTTTACTTTCCTTGCATGATTGCATATTGTCTTCAATCCCTTTTGCTAATTAAATTTATATGCATGGTCAAACGTTCTGCGTAAGAAATCACCTTCTTACTTTAGGCTAAAGGCGATATAGGATGCTGCATGCTCTTATTTGCATATGGATAGTTATAAAAGTGCTTGGCATCTATTTCATGGACATATATTTACAATGGATCGCTCTAGTGTACTGAGGGGGCTTGTGTCTTGAGAAGTGTGTGCAGGTAAAAGAAAGGTGGATTCATAGATATTTGGGCACAAATAACAGGTCTACTATTAACATGATATTAATCCTAATGGAGTTCTAAACTGTACTAAGCTACCAACTAACTCTTAATCTAGTGGGTATTTCTCTTCCCGAAATTGGAATAGTCACAATCCTCCCCGATTGTTAAAAAGGAAAAACATGTAGTCCACGAATTAACAAGGCATATATTTATCGCAAACAAGTATACGATCATGAACACTAAAGGTGAGGATAAATAACAGAAAAAAAAGTGTGAGTAATGTTTTGCTATGATCAGCCGTAACATTGGAAATTGCTATTTCCACTTTCTAGTTGGAACTACAGATAACACGGACTAGAAAATGTGTTTTCACAGCTCTGGTTTTCATTATAGACATGAAGAAAACTATAAAGGAATGCAGCCACATTCTGATTCCCTGTATGCTAGAGCCTAGCCAGTTATGGCCAAAACGTCAAAGCACTAACATGGAGGGTTCGGATGTATTTTCTGCCACATGAAATTCAACCCATGTGAGCTGATTGGAAGTACTTTTTTACCTAGTAGAAGTTGTAACTAAGAAATAAAACCGTAAAGTTGCTCAAACTGCACCTGCAGATCAGACTAGTCAATAGAATAAATATCCCAACTGCGCTCAGTGCCCACGCATATGGACCCATGCAGGTGCAGAAGACCACAAGTAAAACTTTTAAGACTTCAAAATCCTAAGTTAAAGCTCAATACAATCAACTTAAATCACAAGTAATTTGAATTTGATACTTCAGCCAAGCTAACATATTAGAGAGAAATTAAAGTTGTTAATTAATTATAAATCAAAGAAATGAGAAATAAAGAGATGGTCAACTTGATCAAAGTCTGACTGAAAAGCAAACAAATCCTACTCAGTTCAATATGGCTAGCCTTTTTTCTGAAATTGAGACACCAAATTCATTTACAACCCTCCAACCCCAGTTACCATTTACATTGGTGTCATTTGAGGCCAAAGTAGGTTGACTCTGCAAAAACAGAATGAACTGTGGGCATTCTTTGTTGGCAGGTTTCATAGTCTGAAACCATCTGAGTACTATAAACCAGGGAGTTTATGTCTCCCCAACTAATTTCACTCTCTGCAGAAGTAGTACTAGTTCCAGTGCTACCGTTGTTCAGCGTCTCGGCCCCTTGATAGAAGCCATCCAATTGCTGATGCTGATGAGGAAAGTCGTTGCCATAAACCACCAATTCACTTAGATGATGATCAGCCTGTAGATTGTTGTTGTGATCATCAAGGCCCTGAAACATGGTTGGACTACTTGAACCCCCACCATTATTATTAGCATCATAGTGTGTGCTTGCAAACTGATCAGCAGCATAAATATTGTTGTTGGGTGCTGAAGTACAAGTAAGCACATCAATGGAGTTCTGATAGAATTGATGATCTGATGAGGAGCTGGAGGAAATGTCAACAGGGTACAGAAAATTTGTGTTGGTGGTTGTAGTGGTAATATTGTCAGCTGAAAATCTTCCTCCAAGTTTGATGAGCATGTTCTTAATGGAAGCCTGGTCCTTGATGAGTTGAGGCTCATGTGTTTGATAATTCACCATGGGCACTGCCACTGGTAGCTCTGGAGCCCAGTAAGGATTTTGGGTCACAAACCCAACTGGAAGGTTAGCAAAATTTGCACCGCTTTCTGATCTTTTAATCATCTCTTGCTTTAGGCTACTGGCGGCACGGCGGCTCTGCTGAGCCTGTTGTTGCTTGCGCTGCTTGCCCAAGAGCTTTTTCTTCAGTCTTGTGTTCCAGTAGTTCTTAATGTCGTTGTCAGTTCGCCCTGGTAACTGGGCTGCAATTATAGACCACCTATATACAGAAAAGATACTTAAAATTAAGAGGATGAGAAAGAAATTAAATTAGGATATAGGCTTGAAATTTTATAATATATATATATACCTGCTTCCAATACTTATATAGAGGCTGCAGATGATATTGTCTTCTTCCTCTGAAAAAGCTCCATGCTTGATATTCGGCCGGAGATAGTTCAACCATCTAAGGCGACAGCTTTTGCCACACCTTTTAAGGCCTGATCATGATAGCAGCACAATATTAATCATAATGATCAGATGATCAGCTAAAAAGAAAGTTTATTATTAATCCTGTTAACTGATTTGAGAGGAAGATTTCAATTAACTATACTGACCTATCTTCTGGGGCAAGGCAATCCAGTTGCCGCCGGTGCCATGCTTCTCAATGTAAGCCTTGAGGGTGGCATCTTCCTCAGGTGACCAGGGACCTTTCTTGACATTGGCTTTGTCACAGCAAGGAGCTCTCCCCATGGCTTGGGCTTTGGCTTTGGCTTTTTGTGATCTGGGTTATGTTGTGATGTGAAGGCAGGTTCAGGTACTAAGCTAGCTCTATATAAGTATATATCAGCTGCTTCCACTTGATAAAGATAATGATAATGTTAATTAATATAATATAATATATTCAAGAGAGAGAGAGAGAGAGAGAGAGAGTATAATAGCTGGAGAAAGAGGGAGAGGGGCATGGAAAGGGTCACAGAATTTCAAAAAGGTGAATTGAAGAAAAAAGAATGAGCCTTTACGTATAGAATATTAGAGAAATTGGAAATGCCAGAACAGGAGACCAGGGTTTTATCTCATTGTCTTTCTCACTCAAGAATATCTCTCTCTTCTCTCTCTCTCTCTCTCTCTCTCTCTCTCTCTAAAACACACACTATGTCCGCCATCCACCTTGACTCTCTCTCTCTCTCTCTGTAGAACATAACATAGTGGATGGTGATGATATTGAAGAAATAAGTGACGCAACTCTAGAAGGTTTCAAGAGTTGAAGCAAACAAATCAGACATCAGCTTGGTTTGAACTCTTCCTCTGGTTTATGACTATGAATGGTTCCTTCCTCATCAGTTATGCCTGCAATGAGGAGAACCATTCATCATCTTGATCATAACTCAAAAGGGCCTAGTCAGGATCTTTTTCTTCTTCTTTTTTTTCTTTTTTTATGAGAGGCCTAGTCTCAGGATAGGTTTAAATTATTATTATTTTTTATATAATTAAAGAGCTTGACAGTTACCTAGCTAAGTCTTTTTTTTCTTTTTTCCTTTTTTATCAAATAAGAAACTTTCATTCCACCAACCAAGGACGAAGAAAACATACAACCAAGGGTAAAAAAATAAATAAAAGGAACTATATATAATTAACCAGGCTTCATGGTTTAATGAAAGGGAAATTCATTATAATACCCAATATAGAAGCTCAAATTATTTATAAAAAAAACTATATTAAATTGACTTTAGAAACACACCCAAAACTCATTTACAACATAAAAAAAAGTTTTTAACTTCTTTTAAATTACAAAACTGCCATTGATTTCTTAAAACAAACCTAACCCAAAAACCTCATAAAAGAGTCCAAAACACTCAATGGGGGTATCAAAGTAATTCAATAATTAAAATTAAATTCAATAGTGCCAGCTGTCATTTTTTGGATTTTTTTTTTGTATATTTATAGAAATTAAATAATATATGGTTTATTTATAGTTTTAGTGCTAAGAATAGGTATTTGACTAAATATCTCTTAATGGAAATGACACTTTCAAAAGTCTTAACCTCTGGTTTTTTGTTCTTTTCTTTTCTCGGATTTTGGAGTCGTTGGGGTTGGTTTTCGATGAAAATATCAAGAGAGTTTTGAGGAATTTAGGGACAGTATTTTGTGAATAAGCACACCACAAAGTCAGCCTCCCTAGTGGATGAAGCAATAACAGACTGTTTTTAACTTTTCTTAAAAATGAGTCCTCCAGCTAATATAGAAACAAACCACCAAAAGTAGATTTTATTCACTTGAAAAGGCCCAACTCCTTATCAATTATTATGCATTTTCTTCACCTGGATAACATGGAAAGGCAAACAAAAACAAAAACATAGGAAGGCAAGAAATTAATAATCTAAGATGAAAAGAAAATTGGGTAAGGGATACAATCTTCGTCCTCGGATTCGACTACATGACGTCCTCACATCCTCGGATTCGATTACATTCATTCTGAGCTTCTTGCATTTCATATTGTGAGTACATATATAAAGTAATAAAGATTTATTTTTTCATTCAACTACCCTGCATGACTTCCTCCAACAAAATTGAGATTGGGTGTCATTAGATCGAATTGTTATTGTCACATTAATATAAGAATTGATCCATGAATCATCTCACATTAATGTGTCAATAATCATGTGATTCATCCCATGTGATTTGATCTCATTATCTTAGCTGACCAGAGGAGGACGGATGATTTAACATCAATTTGGTGCTAATTGTTGGGAAATTCATTGCATTATATCACTGCAAGAATTGATCCAGTGTACTCGAACAACTCCTTATACAAAGTCACTCAGTCATCCATATATAATAGATAGAAAATCAAAATTATAGCTCTGTCGTATAAAAATTTATAACTCCGTTCTTGGATGTACTTTATAAAATCAATTATTGTGACCAGTTGCTAATAATATATCGACAGACAAATGTGTACGCTAAGGCAGTTAGAAAAGGTAAATAATCCCTCTAGTATATTGTCCTATGAACTTTGAAGATATCAAATAATTTTGACTTGTTATGCTCTGTTAAGAGATTTATTCTATTCATCTTCTAATTATAGACAACATAGATTGAAAAATCTAGAAGTCGGGAGGCGGCATGAGGTATACTACTATTGTTGTGTGGAATATACTGGAGGGTTTTTCGTTATGGTAGGTGACCGAATCACCACCAATAGAAGAAGAAATCACCCCGAAATTACCATTACCGTGAGATTAAAGCAAAACCTGTGATGTGATAGTAAGATATGATATGACAAAGGGGATTATCTGACCCGGGAAATGGCCTACAAAAGGATTTTGAAGCCATGGTACGTGGGCGACTGTTAACCGTCTATACATTTACATAATAAATTAACGGCTGACAATTATCCATGCGGGTTGAGGACTGTTCTTTGCATCAACAACTTCAAACACACAACAGATGCATCCACCATCGATACAAACTTTGCAGCAATAATGGATGGCTTTTTAGATACCAAAAACAAAGATACAACAAGATTTTGATTTAATTATTTAAAATTTAAATAACATTTGCTGGACCAATCGTAAAGTAACCAATTATGCTAATGACACATGCCATTTTTTAGACCCAAATAGCAAAATATAATTATGCTAAAGACTTTAAAAGAGACTAGAGTGCTTGTTTATATTAGCAGTCAGCAGCCAGTGATCCCATAGAGGAATCCCACTGTCACTTGTATTACATCAGATCTTAGACCTTCTTGCCTGTCTTTTTGGGGTCTGATTATTATTATATTCTACAGTCTTTAATGATTAAATTATCTTTAATCTCGTGCATGAGAGGCCCAGCTTATAATCAAAGGAAACCACATAGAAAAAGAAAAAATGAACACCAAAAAAGAAAAAAATGGCTGCCTTGACCCAGTATGAAAGGGTAAAAAGTCAAAGGTAGGCTGCTTGTTGATTATTCACAAAACTCAGATTTGTCTTATGATTTTTATTTTATTTTTAAATTGGGTTTTGTTGTCGTGTATTACGTGGTCAGAACTCAGAACAAGTATATAAAGTTATAAAACAAAAAATCAAAGTATATATAAAGTTCCTATCGAAGAAAGAAGAAGAAAAAAGTTGCTAGTGGTATAGTGTGGTTGAAGGAAGTACACTACTTTTAATGAAGAGAAGGAAATGGTCTTCTTGGTAGGCCAAGTAAACGGGCCTACCTCTCTCTCTCTCTCTCTCTCACACACGTTTGTTTTAAAACCTTTTCTCTTCTCTTTTATGTGTGATCCAAATCGAAGACCTGTTCTTGGTGTGAAAGAGTTATTGTGACTGACAGTTTTCAAAGCAACACAGCTCAAGGCCACTTTCTTCTCGAGGCATTTTCTAACCAAACCATTTGTATTGCACAAGTACATTTGACTGACTAGTGGAAACAAAGCTGTTCTTCACGTGAGCTAGCTTCTATAGAATGTTGTATTAACTAATTACTATTCGGAAGTGATTCTGAAAATGTTGAAAGCGCTCCGTGACCGCAATAAAAAATTTACAATTTCGTTTGGTAGAAAAATTTAAAAGTGTTCATAGGTCATAAAAACACTTTCTAAAGAAACATATGCCTCATATTTTTCAAGAAAGTAGATATTTTCTTCAGAAGCACCTTGTTTGAAAGGGATTTTTTATTCATCGTTTTATTGCTTTGAAATTGTTATCTGGCGTGGTCCTTTCAAGATTTTAACCAAAATTTGCTTTCAATATGCAAGTGACTGGAAATTTCCCACCATTGGAAATTGGACTAAGAGGGAGAATTATAATGCTGCACATCGTCTGAAGTTCTGAACCATATACAGGAGAATGTTGATTTAGTCAGAGAACAAATTATAAAATAATCTGTTTTTCCTCATCTATGTTGATTCTTGAAGTATTGTCTATTATAGTCCACTGAAAATAATTATATTTCTTTCTTTATAATAAAACCATGCATCTGTAAAATAAAGAAAACAAGTGTCTTCGAAGAAAGAACGAAAGATATATCAACATCTAGAAGCCTAAGATCCTTAAATTTTATAGTAGGATCTAGAAACAACCTGGACTCTGGAGACCAACACTCTTGACTACATTTATTGTAAGTTGACCCTGCATATTTAGCCATGCATGCATGGAAATTTTAACAAGAAAAAAATGGAATTCTGGAAGTTCAACTTTCTATTCAAGGATTTTTTTTTCATTTTAAAACAAGTATGAACGTAATCCCTACATGTAGTTTCGTGGCAATGAGGTAAGTATGGATCAAGCTGTAAATTCAAACGTTTTATATTAAAATTTTTCTAAGTGCAAAAATATTATGATAAACGTTATATCACTTTTTGTATTATGTAATCAACGAATTACGCCAAATTTTTCTTTCCACTCTACTTTAAATAGCCTCTAAAACTCTTAATCTACACTCTTATCAATTCATCGAAAAGAAAAAGAAAAAAAGTATGTAATCACAAGAGAAATTATTTATTGTGTATTTCCTATTCATTACATAAAACGATGATCCGTGTGATAGCTGTGTATCTCCAATAATTTTCCTCAACAATGGTAATGACCGACTGTGACAGATGTCAAATGCTCTGTGAGTAGTTTGTGACAAAGGAGGGAAAGCATTCCCATAATTGACTGCTACAAAATCTTTCTAAGAAGAAAGCAACTGAACCTTTTTTCTATGATCATCAGCTCAACTTTTGCTTTGCTTTCCATTAAAAAGGAAGTCAGCAACGCGGTTTCTTCCTTGCTCGTTGTGCTTTTCCAAGTCTAGCTTTTTGGAGGAGAAAGGAAGTGCAGAGAAATTTAAAACATAGATAAGACAAAGATGCAGATAAATTTTCAATATATTTTAACATTTACTTTTGAAAGTTTAGTGGTAATGGCGCCGCTTTCATATCAGGCTATTGGCTTTGCATACTTGATGATACTCCCGGAGATTGTGTTTAGGTCTTGGGGGGCTCAAATTTTCAATGCACAAGAAAGCAATTTGACTCTTACAAAAACGACAAATAGCTTATTGCTCTGCTCAAGTTGAAAAGAAACCGAGATATGGTGCTTGTCAAGGACTCTCTGAAAAGTGTCATTAGACGACGAAGTCTAATGGTATGCTGCATATGCTGCACTAATTTAATCACGGATCATTCTTTGATACAAAGAAATAATCTCAGTTTCTTCCAGATTTTTTGAGAATGAGAACCATCGCAGAATGGGATGTTGTTTGAACTAGAATCTGCAGTGCACTAATTTAATTATAAATAGCCGTCGGATAAGCCGATCTAAGATGATCTATAAGTTATAGGAGATGTGGGTTAACCTCAATTATGCGGATCTCTAATTAGATTAAAAAGTTAAGCAATGTGTAGATCCATTTTAAGTGCATGAAAACTTCCAACCAAAGCAGATGTTGTGGATGGTTTTAAAGTAAAGAGTGTATCTGACCCAACAGAAACATATGGATTTGAATGGTAGCGGTTGCTTTTAGGTAGAGGAGGTAGCCAACCTAAAATGGATTTTGAGTTGTGATTAAAATACTCGTGGGCTTATGATATTCGACCATATTTAAAATAGAACTAAATATTTATAATACCATTGAATCTAATAAGTGCTACTGAGGTGAGCGATGCACATTCGAAATTTTTATGTTTAGGTAACACATAAGAAATGTTAACTAACAAGAAATCTGAACGAAAATGCCAAATCCCAGTTCAAGAACGGACTATCTACAAACAGAGGGAAATAGTAAAACAAACAAGGTAAACAAGAAATAACTAGCAGTCAACCAAAGGATTGATAGTGATTTGGAGCACCTGCAGCGGGGGAGTAAAACTCGGGTTTTCACTTCAATATGTTTTTTGCCTTAGCTCAACAGTCCAATCCAACTTGTCCTGTGTGAGGCCCATCTGCAGTCTGGTAAGCACAGAGTAGAGCCTTTCCGACACAGCTCCAAACCCGCCCTCTCCATAAGACACCCTGCACAAACCAAAGATGATTATTTTTTCTTCGAATCTGGTATCCACTCAACTCAATTGAATGAGGGAGGCCCTATATCTATAATAAGCAAGAGAGCTTCACATTATGAATAAGAGACATCTATTGCGATGCAATAAATTGCATTTAGCTTGCACCATAATAGCTATATATGTGAGCTATATTAAATTGAAAAAGGCATTTTCACCCCTTATAAGAGGTGGACAGAACCAGGAGCAGATTGTTTTCTCCCCACGCAAACAAGGAAAGGCCGAAGAAGGCAACTTTATTTCCCCATATTGAGGAAAAAAATTTAAATGCCGGAGACCTTGTCCCATCTTGTTGGAGCACAAAGAAAAACTTGCTTTCAGACCAAAAAAAGAGAACAGAAAAACACTCTTCGACACATTCACTAGACAGAAAATTTACCTTTTACCGTGATAAGTGATGCTGCCAACAGGTGAAACAACCACAGCTGTTCCCGTACAAAAGACTTCATCAGCATCTAGTAATTCATCAACTGCCACTTGGCGTTCCTCAACCTACACATTATTAGATGGGGGTTGGGAAATGAAGTTACTCGACAACACATTTAAGCTACTGCAGAAAAAGTGTAATACACGTTGCATACTGAAGAATCAATGCAAACAATTTTTATTTTTATTTTTTTTTAAAAAAAGACTAGAGACAGTATACCTTTCACTATCTAGTAAACAAGAAGCAAGGACAAGGTTAATAGCAGCAGAACAACTAAGGAAACACCATCCCCCATCCCCAACCCCACAATCACATACAATTACTTTCAATAAGTAACATCAATTATACCTGGAATCCTTCGCTACGAGCAACATCAATTATACTCTTTCGAGTAATGCCAGGTAAGATTGTTCCTTTGATTTCAGGAGTAGAGATAATATTATCCTAGAACACAAGAAAAATTGACATCATTTAGTACATAAATGCTTGAGAGTGAATATGACATGACAGATATATGGGGGATTATGCTGCACGAGATGTTAAGTTACAGGGAAAGAATGCAGTTGAATTTGGGTCAAACAAGACAGATCATACAATAGTTAAACAAAATCACAAATAATTATATTAGAAGCAGTAGGCTAGTCATCGAAAGCACCAGGCTCCATTTACATTCAAGAAACAGTGCCGCTTCCAGACTGCTATAGGATTAAAAATTACATTAGAATTTATTCCAGAAATTAAATGGGTACAAGCTTCTTCTTCAATTATATCAAACACAGAAATGACGAAATGCTAGAGCATTTGTTGTTATGTTACGGTATTGATGAAAGGTTGCAATGCTAAAAGTGGATTTCAGTGCTAAAGGTTATTCGACATGCCAAGTAACAATAAATGGTAAATGTTAGATGTCTTTCATGCCAGCGGCAGTAGCCACGCTTTCATGTTGGTAGCATAATATTGGCAGGTCCATAAGTGCCAATGTCAGTGACAGATGTAACCAAAAGGCATCAAAATAAGGTGCTTCACAAGAGCGTTGGTTTGGAAAATGCTGCATTTTCTCAAGTAGTGGAATGGTGATCCCATTCCAGATCATAGCAAGTTCAGGTGGATGATTTTGGCATGCCACTCTGTGAACTCAATAATACCATGAAATCAAAGAATATTGAGAAAGCATGGTTCTTCCAAAAGGATATAGGCATTCAAATCTAGAATTAAATGGCAACAATGTAGAGAAAGACATATCACAGGATCTTATAATTCTGTACATAAGCAGTTATCATCTAAATGTCCTGCCCTTCCCACCACCAATCAATAATGATATACTGAATGTAAATAATAATAAACACGGTGAATTCCAGTCGCAATACCTTCACAACAAAAATGTTGCATGAGGAAACCTCCTCCAGATATCTTTTGTGAACACAGTCAAGGTATAGAACATCAGAATAGCCTTTTGCTTTTGCAGCAGACTGAGCCTTCAGAACCTACGCATAAATGATTTGATGTTAAAACACAACAACAGCTACATGCTATAATCTAAGCTTAATAAAGTAGAACGGCAAAACACCAAGAAGCGCTAATTTAACCACAGGAAAATGCTTAGGACAAGACTTTTTTCAGTCATTGACTTTGCACAACTTAAACTTACTAAAGAAATAAATATTTGATGTTTATAAATTATAAGCCCATCAATGAACACGGCCAGAGCCTCACATTTAAAGAGAGTGTGAAACCATATTTGATCACTATGCTATATAATATCTATAAAACTAAATAAAGAAATGTTGCTTTTAGTTTTTGATGTACGAAAAAATTTCGAACCATATGCAGAGGAAAAAAATATAAGTTTGCTGTTTCATACCTTTACACTAAGAAAGTAGAGCTAGACAATAGTTTCAGGGAGCAGACAAGCAAGAGTTTTCCAAAAAAGAATTTGGCGAAATTCAGGTAAATAAGAACCAAACAAGAAGAGGAACACTAGCTTACCGCAGCATAATTCCCTATAGTCTTAACACCTCCAGTGCCACCAGGAGTAGCACGATGCAATTCATGCTCAACAATCAAATTTATCGGTGCAACACCTTCCTGCCACCAGATATACAAATATAAGACATTGAATGATTGTCACCAAAAATGCACCTACACTAGCTAAAAGGAGACAAAAATATCACAAACGTGTAGAACCCAAATGCAAACAACTACATATTTACGTCTAAAAAAGGAAATCACAATGAAACAAATCTGCACACTCAAATGACAAAAGATAAAAGAAAAAAAGAACAAACTGCTGCCATATTTAGGCCCGGTTTGGGATTGCTTTTTTTCACCAAAAACCTGCTTCACTTTAAAGTTAAGCAGTTTTAGGTGTTTGGTAAAAATAAAATATCTCGATTATTTTAAAAGCAGTGGCCTTTTGACAGCAGCTTTTAAAAGCAGGCTATGGGTTGCTTTTCAAAGCTGCTTTCAAAAGAAGCAGAGATGAACCTTTAATGAATTTTTTTAATTCCCAAAATACCATCATTCATTTTAAAAAATAACACCACCTCCACTTCCACATCCAACTCCACCACTTACACCACCACATTCACTACCTCCACAACCACCGCCATCGCCACGGCCACCACCACCACCACCACCACCACCAACTCCACCTTCACCTCCACCTCCACCTCCACCACAACCACCACCACCAACTCCACCTTCACCTCCACCACAACCACCACCACCATCACCACTACCACCACAACCACCACCACCAACTCCACCTTCACCACCACCACCACCACCTCCTTCAAAACCTCCAAATCCACCACCACCTCCACAACCAACACCACCACCACCACCATGCTGCCACCTCCACCACCATGCTGTCACCACCACCACCTCCACAAGCCCCATCCCTACTACCACCACCTCCACTCTATCACTACCACTACTACCACATGATTAGTACATAACACTTTTAACATCATGTCTATTTTAGTCATTATTCACAGTTACAACAATTTTATATTAAAACTTACCAAACGGTTTTGACACTGCTTTTTGTACTAACAGCACTTTAAAAATATTGTTTACCAAACATGGAGCTGCTTTACTTTACAGCTAATTATTTTCAAAGCACAACAGAAGCAACTTTTTTTAAAAGTGACAGCAATCCCAAACTGGACCTTAGTTGAATTATACATTCAGGCACCAAAAAGGAAGATAAAACTGTGCATGTAAATTATAACATTCATGACAATGACTATGAGTCACTGAAACATTTGAAACAAACATCAAAACTGGTAAATTAATTAAAATGGGCAATATTTATTGAAGTGAAAGATTCCAACATGGGTCCAAAATTGAATTGAAGCATGAGTTACTGAATTACTTAAAACTGCCTTAAGTTTAAAAACAAATTGACCATAATTAACCTGGCATAACAAAAATAAATAGCAAACCTTAAAATAGTTTCCAACGGGTGAAACATAAATCAGAAATGTGTACTCAGGAGCAGGTGCCAGACCAAGAACAGCACCACTTCCCATTAGCAATGGCCTGATATATAGGGAACCTTTACCTGGAGGGGGAACCTGAAACAAGAGATTGACAACTCACTAGTAATATTACACATGCTAACATTCACAAAGAAAATATCTTACTACTGAATCATGGTTGTAAATTACCCAACGTTTATTTGCTAAAACAGTAGCCTTTACAGCTTCCACAAACTGTTCGACAGATGGTGATGGCATACACATTCGCTCTGCACCCAACCTCATCCGCAATGCATTTTCCTCAGGACGAAACAAGAGTATATTACCATCTTGTTTCCTGTAGGCTTTCATACCTTCAAATAATCCCTAAAGAGCCAAACAAAAGAAAGAGTAAACTGGGATAGACTTTTATCCAAGTAATCATATTACTTAATTCAAATATGTCATTCTCAAACTTTTACTTCATTTAACTTCATTTATCAAGGTTTCATTAATCAAGGTTTTGGGATCTACCTCCATGATAATACCTTTCAGAACCCAATATTAGTCCAGAAAAGCATACACACACACACACACACACAAAAACAAGCAATTCTCATGTTGAATGAAATGGAACTGGAGATAAAGACTTGAATATTGAACCTGCCCATAGTTCAAGACTCCAGCTGAGGGGCTCAATTCAATGTTCCCAAAACGCTGTAATTCACCTTTAGAAAAGTTTTCACCTTGAGCACATTTCATGACGTACATATAATCAGTAGGAAGAAACGCAAAGCCGAGGTTGTCCCATTCTATGTCAGCTAATTCACTTGTTTCATTGCTGAACCCAACAAAGGCATATCAATGCACAAAACCAAATCACATAACAAAACTAAGAAAGAAAAAAAAACAACGACAACAACAAATAGTGATCTGAAACTAGGACAACTAATGAATAGTTTGATTAAACAAAAGAATCAAAGCAAACAATGTGTTTATAATCAATGAATATCACAATTTCCTGAGCGTACAAGAGAAATAATGAAGATAATAATAACAAGAAGAAGATTTAAACGAAACCCAAAAAGAATGAAGAGGCTTTACACAAAAGTATTAGACAATGTGGCACATCGACGAAAGGGAGAGGGAGAGGCTGCTTGACAAGAAGCCAAAGGAAGCTGCTTTTGGAGCTGCAAAGAAACAGTGGACAAACCCAGTTTCAAAATTAAGATAAAACATCAAATAAAAATCCAAAAAAGAAAAAAGAAGCATTCATATTTGAGATTAATGGGTGGGATGATGGGTTGTACCTTAACAGAGAGAGAAGGAGAGGAATGGGAGGTGGAGAAGAGGCGGAGGAGAGGAGTGGAAGAAGTATTGCGGGAGGGGCAAAGGGGGAAATTTGGCTGAAGACCTCCGAGGACGGCGCTGCTCTCCATCTCAAACTCAACCTCACTCTGAACACCAAAAACCCTCTCTTCTTTTGTCTCTCTCTCTCTCTCTTTCTCGCCCTCTGAATATCTGAATATCAATAATATGACAGAGAGCAGAAGGGGGGTACTTTCAATTAGATTGCGCTCGTGTTTTTTATTTTTTATTTTAGTCGTCGTTAGGCAACTGACAATGAAATAATTTTCTAATTGAAATTGGGAAATACATATAATTCAATCTAATCCAATCACAAACAACAATCCCATTAAACTTGCGCACTAAAATGAGGAATCGTAAAAATAAAAGATAAAGAAAGTTGTTGTCAATTATAGCATTATATACTTCACTAATATAAGCTAATTGGAAAAAGATTCATGGTTCCATTTCAGTCAATTGACAATTATAGTACCAGCACAAGCACGCATCCGAATATTTATGTCACTTTACGACCAATGAAAGTGATGGCTGTCCCTGGATAGATTTCGTTTTGGGTCATGATAGAGAGACCAACTTTAGATATCAACTAATGTACCATCTCTCTAATAGAGGTGGAGCCCATCAATACAATGGATCTCACGCTCTATTAGAGAGATGGTATACAAGTTGGTATCTAAAGTTGGTCTTCCTACCATTTTCCTTTCGTTTTTGCCTACCGCAGCTCTATTAGAGAGATGGTATACAAGTTGGTATCTAAAGTTGGTCTTCCTACCATTTTCCTTTCGTTTTTGCCTACGCGTCTGCGGTTTGATTCTTTGACTTTATTTTTTGGGTTGCATCTACTGCTCTACTATTACGAACCAACCAGCTTTTTTGGGGGTAAAACTGTAACACAAGAAAGTCAACTTACTATTTACAATATTTAGATTTTTTTTTTGGTGACTTAATATACATATTATTTATCTAGTTGGAGTCATATGTCAATGTTACTCAACTGGTGAAATAACTTTTAATAATGCTATTGTGGTTGAACATGGTATCAAGCTCAACCCAAAACAAATATTTTCTAAAATTCTTTATGTTAGGACGAAGGTCTAAAATATCGATAGTTTAAGTTGATTATATAGCGAAATGATAAACACTACGAGTGTATAAAATATGTAGTAATTAATGAAAAAATATTAAACATATCATAATCATTTATTTGTAATGATTGACTACAATATTTTACACTTTATACATTGCATAATAAGATACATGAGTGACTTAGTACCACATAAAATTCCTATAAGGTTCAAATTTGAGTTATTTACACTAACACCTCCTGAGGTTTTCGACTTTTTCACAAAACTCCTTGATGTTTTAAAAATTACAAGAACACCCCTTGAGGTTTTAAATTGTTTTCATAAAACTCATTTTCATTGATTTTTGATGATTTTATACCCAAAAAAAATCTCCAAATGACAAAGTTTACCTTTGAGATTAGATTGCATATACTTCATTGAGGTTAATTTTGTCATTTGCATAAGTTTTATATCAATGAAATTCTCAATTTTTGGACAAGCAATCAACGAAAAACGGTTTTGTGAAAACAAACTAAAACCTCATGGGGTGTTTGTGTAATTTTTAAGTCTTGAGGGAGGTTTTGTGAAAACACATGAAACCTCAGGGAGTGTTAGTGTAAATAACTTTTCAAATTTTTCATTATCTTCATCATCTCGATATTTTCAATATTATCAATATTATAGCGATATTTTGGCCAAATGTTGTTGAAGTGTGAGAGAAATTATCGACGTCAATATTTTCTGATATTATCATCGATATTATCAATATTTATATGATATGTGTATGGATACGTTCCAAAATATCCTTGATCCGAAAAAATAATAATATCCTCAATATTTCGTCGATCTTATCGATATTTTAGACTATGGTTATGACTAATCACTTTATAGGTCAATGTCACTCATGTGGCAAAATAATTTTTTAAATATTTTTTTCGTTTTACGAAGAAGCAAATGTGGCGAAACAAATCTTAATAATATTGTGATTGTTTTTATATATATAAAAATATATATTATTGTTTGGGGAAAAAAAACCTTGTTGTGGCTAAACATGTTACCAATTTCAACTCAAATCAAAATTTTCATCCAAATTCCCTCATATTCGAACCAATAACTTGTTGGAAAAAAGGTAATTTAAAGTTTGATTTAAGGGTAAAAGGTAGTGGAGCAGGAATTTCTAGTTAAGGGTATAGGGTAAAAGGGTAAAAGCTTGATCTCTTTGCTGATCAAAGGAGGAGGGGGAACTTGGCTTTTGTGATTTCACTATTTTCAATCAAGATCTTCTTGCTCAGATGGTGTGGAGAATTTTTACACAGCCTCATTCTTTGGTTAGTCAAGTTCTGAAGGCTAAATACTTCCCTAATAGAAGTTTCTTACATTCTGATTTTGGATCATCACCTTCTTAATTTGGCAAAGTATTTTATGGGCAGTGACTTGCTTAAACAAGGCATCATATGGAGAGTAGGAGACGGTAGTAATAGTTTTGTTCTATTTTATCCATCCCTATTGCGCTTTCATCTCAATGCAACAAAGTTCTATGGCATTATACTTCTAATGATCAATATTCAGTTCGTATTGGCTATTGGATTGGTCTACACCATTCAAGAGATGTTGGTCTGAATATTATTGGTTCTAATGTTGGTCAAGGTAGTAGAGCAGGAATTTCTAGTTCAATGTGGAAACAAGTTTAGAGGTTAAGAGTTCCTAATAAAATTAAGCTTTTTTTCTATGGAAGGCATAACACCTTACCTTGTTCTTTTTTCTTTTTTTTCTTTCTTTTTTTTTTTGGCTCAGGAAAAGAGATTCCCATTCCAAAAGCGTGAGAAATCACACCAATCAAAATACAAAAAGCCAAAACCTCACATCATCAAATAGGTAATAAACCTCAAGGAAGCAAAACAACTTCCCAGTCAAATGATGATGTAAGAACAAAATCCTACAGCTAGTACAGAGGCGCAGGGAGACTATCCCTAGACAAAATACGCACCAGTGAGGGAGAGGGTCTACAGACCCAAACTTGATGGCTCACCTTTGAATTGGCTAAACTAGCAGCAACATGAGCTACTGCGTATGCTCTCCTTGACACCCACTGTCACCTGACAGTAGAGAAAGAGCTAGTATGTCTCCAAATATCCTTCAGTATAGGGTACAGACGCCAGTTTCTAATGGAGTTCCTCTTGGAAACACACTCGATGACACATTTGGCATCGCTTTCTATGATGACATTTCCCATATTCAAAGTCTTGGCCAAAGAGACCCCTGCTAAATAGACTCAGCCTCAGCCTCTTTTGGGAATAACGAAAATCATAACAAGCTTGAACCCTAATGAAATTACCTTTGGCATTACGTGCCACAATGCCAATACTGGTTTGCAAAGTCTACTTCTTTCAAGATGCATCAACATTGTTCTTTACCAAAGGATCCGACGGCTATATCCATACAGCATCGTCCGTAACGTCCAGACCTTCACTAGCGATTTAAGAGCAAAGCACCACACTTTCATCTAGACTTGCTAAACTTTTTACATGACACAAGAAGTACGCCCCTTGAACAAAGCATTACATCTCTCCTTCCAAATCTCCCAAAAAATAATCCCAACTAAACAAAGCATATATATCAGCACCAAGATTGTTTACATTCAACATTGTCCTCATAGCAAGGAGACAAGAATCAGAATTGGTAATCAGTCTTTCATTTGGCTTGTAACTCAAAAGGGATCCAAACTAAATGCCTTTTACCTATGGGCACAATAACAACAGGGGCTCTGTGTTTCCTCAAATAAACCGCATATAGAACAAATGGGGTTGGGGCAAACTTTACACCGAAATAGGTTGTTGAGACGAATGAGGTGGCACATGGTTGACAACAGATTTAGAGCAAGCCCAGTGATATCCACTACGCATATAGTAATTACCCCTCTCTCTCTCTCTCTCTCTCTCTCTCTCTCTCTCTCTCTCTCTCTCTCTCTCTCATGGCCAAATTAGGCGATCAGTTCCCTCAAGGTTATACAGCCTGAATACACACCGTCATCTTTGGAGTAATAAGATGTATAATGCGATCCAGCTCCATGTCTTCTAATGCCGATCAATAATTGAGCTAACCATAGTTGGAATAGGCCCGACGATAATATGTGTAGGCATGGGGTGAGAGGTAGCATGACCCATGAACCAGTTTTTGTTCCAAATATGAGTGCCTTCTCCATTTCTAATTTGCCACATAGCGCATTCTTGTATGATTTTCCTTCCCTCCAAAAGACTGGTCCAAGCCCAAGAAGGACGAGCCCCCCATGACGCATGGAATAAGTCATAATGTGGAAAATAACGGGCTTTAAGCACACGAGCCCACAAGTTGTCATGGTTGCAGTATTGCCGCCAACACTACTTAGCCAAAAGTGAGAGGTTAAAAGTCTCAATGTTCGTGAACCCCATACCACCTTACTGTTTGTTAAGGCCCAATGCAATACCTTACGGAGAAGAAACCCGATTTGAGCACACAAAAGTTTGTCATATGCACTTGCACACATGCCACGCCAAGTAAATAAGCAATACGCCACACTACAAGCTTAAGTGGTCCCCAAGCCACTCAAATACCCGGGGCTTGCTTGAGTGAGTTGTGGTATGGATGGTAATAAATTTTCATGATGCCCATTAATGGGCCGAGAAATGGAAGTCCCGGGTTGCTTGGGAGCATCGGGACTCAAGCCCATTTCATAGGTCCAAATATGTGGATGAGCACAAGAGAGAAAAGAATAGTCCATCACTCCAAACAAAAATAGCCCAGCCAAAATAGCGTATTGACTCAACCAAAAAGCCCAAACGTTTGATAAAGAAAGTCCACTTACTTAATGAATCATTTTTGCCCATATAATTACCATAATGAGCTACAAAAGCCCCAACACTTGGTTGGAAAAACAAAAGCCACGAAGAGGAAGTCTGAAAGTCCATTATACAAAGCTGTTGGGAGGTTCCAGCATATGGGAAGGGAGCAAGTTTCAAGCAAAATACACCTAAGGGACTAAGGGATATTGGCGCACAGCCTGCTAGGAGAGGAATCGACTTTTGAACCAGCATGCATACCCATTCTCTTTCCCTCATTAGACCTGGCCATGGAAGAAGAAAGAAAAGAAAAGAAGGAGATGACTGGAAATAGAGGCAGCTGCGGGAAAAAGCATTGAGCTCCCAAAAATCCCTGATTTTGTGAGATTGGATAGAGAAGATTTTGCTAGAATAAGATAAGTCAAAGAATGGGAGGAGAAAGAAAGGGAAAAGCTTGGTCAAATTAGATAAAAACCATTAGGGTTTCTTGGAAAATGATGGCTTCCAGCGGCTATAAAAGGGGCATCTTCTACCTAATCAAGAACAACCCACATTTCAGAGAGCAAGCTTCCTCTCTCACCTGCAACACCCAACAAATTCGTGCTCTGTTCATCCTCCTCCCCATTTTTCCCTCTTCTGGCAGGCTGTTCTAACACTTGACAGAGTCTCTGTCAAACTGCCGAAAAAACACTCAAGCCACCATTTTCTCTCTTTTTACTCCTCTCAGCCAAAACCTCTGATAATCATTTCCTCCTCTTCCTTAGAACCCATGTTTTTCATGGAAACTCACAGCTCTTTTCCTTTGAGGCTAAAATTATGACAACTTTGCTCCCATGCCACAAGCCTCTCATGCCAAGCCAAAAATTTATCTGTAAGCAGCCATTATTTTTGTTGGTGAATGTAACCAAGGTGTTTCCTAAGGCATCTCTATCCTTTCGAAGCATTGTTGATGCTTGATCTTCGAACTCAGGCCCAATGGGCAATTTCATCCATTTTGCCATTTACGACAGCCCAAGCCCGTAGTAACTGCCGGAACAAAAAAGCCCCTACACTGTTTAGGCAAGCAAAGAGCCTTCCAACTTTTCCAATGTATTTTACTTCCAAATTCACCATCTCCCTACCAAAATCTGCCTAGGGCACCATTAATCATAGTGAAAATACTCTTAGGAAACTTAAAATGCGACATGGTTAGCAGGGAACTGTGAGCGTAACCGATTTAATAAGCACCTCCCTACCCACCATAGATAGTACACCAATCTTCCATCCCTTTTTTTTTTTTTTTTTTTTTTTTTTTTTTTTAAATTAAATTCAATTCTCAATATAAGTAAGAAGCTAGTCTTTTAGACCTTCCCCCAAAGATGGTAATCCCAAGTAGATACCCGGATTGATAGTTACATGTACCCTAAGAGCATAACCAATATCATGGGCCATAAAAGAAGGAGAATTAGCATTTAGGAAGAGAGAAGACTTATCATAGTTACCAACATGTCTAGATGCCATACAGTAAATATCCATAATTTTAAAATTTTGGCAATTTTGGACATTTGCACGTAAGAAAAACAAAGAATCGTCAGCAAATAACATATGAGAGATGGTTGGACCCCCGCAGCTAAGCTGAATGACTTGAAAAATACTCATATCAATAACGGCAGACACATTACGAGACAGAACTTCACCAACCAAAAAGAATAAATATGGAGATAATGGGTCCTCTTGTCTTAACTCAAAAGTGGGCTGAAAACAACCACAGAGAAGGAGACAGTGTGCACACAACACATAACAAGCATCACCACCGAGCATTAAACCCCATCATGTGGAGTGTCATTTCTAAAAAATCTCACTCAACATAATCATATGCCTTGTTCATATCCAATTTCAACCCAAGCTCGCATTTCTTACCTTCCTTTAGTTTGAGGTAATGAAAAGCCTCATAAGCGACCAGAAGATTATCTTGTATTTGCCGATCGATAACATATTGGAGATGATAGTTGCTGCCCTCGCTGCCATGGCCTTCAGGAAACCATTATTCATGCTCTATGGGGCTGTCGTGAGGTGAAAATGATTTGGAAATTTTCTTTTCTTAGTGACGTGATAAACATTTGGCATGAACCTACTTTTGCAAATCTTTGGTGCCATGTAATTACAGTGGGTTTGAAATTTAACTTAGAGATTTTTGCTTACGTTTCTTGGTTTATTTGGCTTGATCGAAATGCATGAATGCATGGCCAGAAAGGACGTGACCCTAATGACTTGTATGCTACTGCCCATCGTCTTTTAGTTGAATTTATCTCCGCTAACATTGCTCATGTGCGTACTCATTCTCCCTTATCTACTCATTAGTCCCCGTGGTAAGTTGAAACTAAATGTGGATGGTTGCTTGTAGTAATTTTGTTTGGAAACGTGTATTGGGGTAATTGTAAGAAATGTTCATGGAGATCTTATGGGTGCTATTTCAGTCCCTATCATTGGTGTTTCTTAGCCAAGGTTACTGAACTCTTAGAAATTCAAGAAGGCCTTCAATTGGCATGGGAGGCTGGTTATGGTTCATTAGTGGTTGAGACCGATGCAAAGATTGCCATTAACAACATTGTCTCTAGCAATGAGGCTTTGGGGTTACATGAGGGATTATCAAAGACTTCCACATGTTATCTAGAAATTTTGATTCTCTTTCTTTTGTCTTCATTCCTAGATTATGTAATATTGTGGCTGATAGACTTGCTAAGTTAGCTTTAGGTAGTGTGTCCACAGACGTTTGGCTTTAAAATGGTCTTCCATAGCTCAATATGTTTCTTCAAGCTAACACTGATATTCTGGATTTGTCATGAGTTTTTGTTTGTAGACTTTATGGAGCGTTTGTCACTCTTTTTCCTTCGTCTCAAGTTTTGTCCTATTGAGTTTTCCTGGGCAAGGTTTTAATGAGGCCACATTTGTTCACTCAAGTCTATCCTTCAATAATTTAGCAATGCTACACTTATCACATTTTTATCCCACATTTTTATACCACATGATGTGGCATGTCCATATCATATGTCACATCAATTAAATCAAAGAAGTGTATTTTAATACAGAAAGTTTAATTAACAATTTTTTTTAAGTGTTAATAAATCATTAAAAAAAAAGAATAATGTTACTCTTACCACATTTGTATATCACATCCTTATACCATCTTATGTGGCAGTTGAGGTGGACAGCCACATCAATTAAAATTATTTAATATTTTCTTTTTTTTTTAATGATTTATTCCAGTTTTTATTTTTCTAAGAGCATCTCCAAGGGAGATGTCAAATATCAAACATTAAATTTAAATTTGATGGTTGATGTGGCAATTTGACATCTTACACAGCTTTACACTCCACCCGATATGTCAAATTAAATTATTATTTTATTTCATTTTAGTGTTGATTTATTTTTAATTAAAAATAAAATAAAATAAAAATAATAAAATATTCATTTGACATCTTGCTTTTGGGATGTCAAAAATAACATCTCAACCTTCAGTCTTCATCCCATATCAACTTTGACATATCGGTTGGAGTGATGTGAGATGTCATTTCTAGCCGTTAAATGTCTATGTGGCACTTTTGACATATCGGTTGGAGATGCTCTAATTGTCTTAATTAAAATGCACTTCATTGATTTAATTGATGTGACATATAATATGGACATGCCACATTATGTGGTATAGAAATGTGGGATAAAAATGTGGTAAGTGTAGCATTACTCTTGATTTAATTGATGTGACATATAATATGGACATGCCATATCACGTGGTATAGAAATGTGAAATAAAAATGTGGTAAGTATAACATTACTAAAAAATATATATATATTAAATAATTTTAATTAATGTGGTTGTCCACCTCATCTGCCACATAAGGTGATATGGAAATGTGGTAAGAGTAGCATTATTCTTAATAATTTTAATGAAAATTTACAACTTCCTCTATAAAAAATGAAGAATAATGCTACTCTTACCACATTCTCATACCACCTTATGTGGCAAATGAGGTGGACAACACATCAATTAAAATTAATTTAAAGTTTTCTTATCTTTTATGATTTATTGACACTTTTTAATTGATGTGATTGTCCACTTCATCTGTCACATAAAGTGGTATGAAAATGTGAGATATAAATGTGGTAAGTGTAGCATTACTCAAAAAATAAATAAAAAATAAGAAGCTTGATTTAAGGGTCACAACAACTTCAACAAACATTAATTAAGGGGACATTTTTTGTTGTGTTTTTTTTTTTGTTTTTTTTTTTTTTTTTTTAGTTATAATAATATAAAACATTATCATTACCTTTACCCCTTCATCTTCATCACCAAATAAAGAACTTCGATAAAAATAAAACAAGTTTAGTCAATCCTAAGGGTGATTTGATACAAAGGCAATGTACAAACTAAAAATACTTGTGACAGAGCAAACTGATACAATCTCTGATTGCAAACACCGTGCAAAAAATCAGCCGCCATTCATCTTCTTGGAAGAATAGTGTGCAGATGTAACTTTAAATTAGTTGGCAAGGACACTGAGCCCATCTAAAATTAGATTAGATTAATTTAAAGAGCTTAGAATATCACTTGTATAAAATAAATAAAATGGGCCTTTTAACCCTTCCACATTAGAGGCACATGGGCGAAAAAGTTTTGACACATGACCAAGAAACCACGTCGATGATTTGTCAATTTGGCCTATTTTAATTATGGGAATGAAATTACTCATTTACCAAAAGGTTAAAACAAAAAGTAAAAAAAATGAAAGCTCAATCGTAATCTCAATCTTTCCCTTCATAAAGTATTTTGATTATAAATCCAAGTGAGGGCCATCCTTATCCAGACACGTATTAAACGCCTACTTACAACTTAGTCAGACTTCATAAACCCATCAAATTAAGGGCCAGTTTGGCATTGCTGTGCTGTAAAAATAATCGCTGTCAAATTTGCTGTGAGAGAAATCAGCTGTGAGAGAAAGCAGTTTGGCGTTTGGTAAAATTTTTGTTAAAAGTGTTGTTGGTATTGATTTTAAGCAAAATCAAAAAATAATTGTCGCATAATCATTAAACCCAGCGCCTCTTCGAAACTGATTCCTGAATAATCAAAAAATGAAAGCACCTCATTAGCTGCTTTCCCTTATAGCTTTCTCTCACAGCAATTTGTAATAATAAGTGATTTTCTCACAGTTTACCAAACGGGTCGGGCTTCTCAAATTTTTTTAAAAATCACTTATTACCTCAAATAAGCAATGCCAAACTGGCACTAAATATATCAATTTCTCATCTTTATAATAACTTCTTTTTTTTGAGTGACGATTATATATTTTTCGACATAAGAAAACAGAAGCACACAACCAAACCTTCCTTGTCGGTTGATGCCTGGGACTTAAAAATATCACCAAGAAAGAAACAATATTTCACCAAGTAGCAACAAACAGATAACCCATGATCATAACCGGAGACGAGGTCCTCCTTTATAGTACAAATGCCACACAACACACTCCATGTTTGACCTAAAATAAGAACTCGAAAGAAAAATAGATCACATCTATCAACCAGAACAAACCAAAAAACCAAAAACGTAACATCAGAACCACCAAACATTCACAAATTTCACATAAGGACATAAGTAGCCCACTCCAAGATACAAGCCATCACAAGGGAGCCTCTTTAAAGTTGAGGACTTTCGGCGAAAGATGCACCTGAAGAAGATAGATCTCATCAGCAAGCTTGACTTTGCATTACTTAAATGTACCTTAACAAAATAAATAAAAATGATACCCGGTAAGGAATAAGAAAAATACTCTATTTGCATCTATTTCGACAGCCATGCAACAGACTAGAAGTACACACTATGAACAACCAGAGCTCTACTATTCTCTTTTGACTATGTCAGCTTTGCAAAATCCAAAACTTCTGTACACTTTTTCAAATATCATCTCACTGGGACTGCACATGCTTTGCTGATGTATCTTCGGCTTGAATCTGCATATACTTTCAGAATTAGAATTGATTCATACTGAACAATCAAAAGCACAACCTCAATGAGTAATAAATAAAAAAACAGATAATCATGATTAGCAGAGGTCTTCAACAATATTTAGGGCTCCTTTGGGAGTGATTCTAGGAGGGCCAGAATCACTTAAGAGATTTTAAGCGATTCTGGGGAAAAACACCTCCATTGTGCTTCTCCAGAAAATCACTTAAAACCACTTAAAGTGATAATATGGAGAAGTGATTCTCCATAGAAGTGATTATTTGCCTATCCATAATCACTCCCAAACAAGCCCTAAATCAGTAGGGCTAAACACTCATATTTATTGTTAACTGATGCAATTCCAAGTCCTTTCTGGTGATACTAGCAACATTAACACTTTGATATTGGAATGTATGCAAACACACAGTTATTAGGGAGAGGTAATACAAAACAACCTATCATAACGTATAGCAGCAAGAATCCCATGCAAGAGACCATTAAAAATTACCTGACAGTGCTCAGTAACTTGTCCAACAGCTCCCTGGAAGACACCATTCTGTCCATGGTGTGCTTCTACAATAGAGTTCTCCGCCTCTAATTTGCCTTCATTGCCAAGACTGCCAGTTCCAGTTTCCTCAAAAATCACTTCGGAAACCTTTATGATTTTATCTACTATTAAAGCACTACCCTCTTCAGCGCCTTCACAAATTTGATCAGATGGCAATGGCATTGATACATTCTGATCCTCTAGTACTTTTTCCTGGATTGACGCAATGCTGAAACCAAAATACATATATGACTCAGTTTAAATTTGCTCACAAATTCAAGTTAAAGCAATGAGGAATTATCAAGATACCAATAACAGAAAATTGGCAAAACCCAATAAAGGATTCAAGTTCGGATAGTATGGGTTATACCAATGGGTGTTGGCATGTTCTGATGAGTTCACAGTGCCATCTTGTTGTTGCCTCCTTTTCTTAAGGTGCTGCCTGGGCTCAAGTAGTGGATCAAAACTGTCATTAGACAAAGATTTGTCAACTCTTCTTTTCCTTCCTCCCTGGAAGACTTGTTCAGAAATTAAGGGGGAACAACTTTCACCATCAAATTCCTTAATTTCAGATTCAGCGTGTGTTCCTTTTACAGTCTCACCAACAAGGGGAACCTCAACTATCACCTTCGGTTCACCAAAAGCATTCTGTCTCTTACTGAAAAATCTAGGTGAATTACCATTTCCCGTGTACCTATGCCCGTCATATTTACTTGATGTATCTACCTGTTCAGTTACTGTCAAACTTGTTTCTTCCCGAGAGATCACATGATTTTCTTCATATTCCGTTTGGTGCTTCTCAGGAGACTGTTTAAAAAGCAATTCCCTGCAGCGCTTTAACCATGAGAAACGAGCAGAACTAGAAGGAGAAAACCCTGATTTTAGCATTGATGAGTTGCTAATGTTGGCAACATTTTCTTCATTATGTGAATTATGATCAGCTTCTCGAACAGAAGTTAACTGCTTCAAATATCGTCTAGAAGTTTTCCGGCTGCGAGGCACCAAATCAGATTGTTGCATCTCAGCCACAGGCGCACTATCTAAAGCAGCCTTCAAACTCTCCAATTCCTTCAGGTGTTGAATCTGACCAAGAATCTCTTCTCTATCTGCATGCAATAGTTCTCTCTGTTCTTTCAATTTCTCTCTCTGGACCCTCAGTTCCTCAATTGAATTATTTAGCTCCGCCCATTCCCGATCCCTTCGCTCACGATCCAAATTGATCTCGATTCTCTCAGTCTCAAGCCTTTTCCTTTCTAAAGCAACCTCTTCCCTCTCTTTTGCTGCTTCTTCCTTCAGAGAGTTAATATTCTGAAATTCATTTTTCTTTTCTTGCTCAAAGGCAATCTCCTTTTCCTTCAATGAACATTCTAACTCTTCATGCTTTTTATCAATACAGTTCTCCAATTCTCTCTTCCGCATCTCAATTTCAAGTAAGAAGTCTGCGCGTTCCTTCTGCATCTTGCCAAACCACTCAGAACGCTCATGAACCATCTTATTCATGAAGTCCTCTCGCTCTCTAACAAGTAATTCAACATCACGCTTGTGCTGATCTCGCATTTCCTCCTTCTCCTGCCTTAGGTTATCATGCTCATCCTTGATAAACTTGGAAAACGCCAACCTCTCCTCTGCAACACGCTCTGCTTCCTTCCTTAGCTCTTCTCTCTTTTCATCAATTAATTCCCACTCTGATTCAAACTTTGCCTTCTCTACAGCCAACTTATCTGCCTCAGCCATCAGCTCTTGCTTTTGAGCCCTGACTAAATCTATCTCTTCTTTAAGTTTCATCTCTAGATCTGAAAGCTCACTTGTTTCAGTTTTCAAAACCTCAAACTTCTCCCTGGCACAATCAAGTTGTTTCCTTTTGTCTTCAAGTGAATCCAAGGAGCTCTGAAGCTCTACCTTCATTTTGATAATTTCTTCCTTTTCTCTTTGCAAAAGAACATTATTCAGCTCAAACTCCTTCTCAGCATCTCTCAAAGTTTTTTCTTTCTCATCAACCAGATTTGACATCTCTGCCACATCTTTCTCCCTATCCACCAATGTCCTCAACTGAACTTCCAAGTCATGCTCCCTTTCCTGCAGTAGGTCGTCTCGTTGATTGAGATCCACTTCCCTCAACTCCCAAGCCCGCCTCTTGGCTTCAATTTCATCTTCGAACAGTTTTCGCTTCACGTCCAGCTCCGAATCAAATTCAGACTTCTTTTTTCTTAACTCAAATTCGTGGCTTGCTACGGCTTTCCTAATCTCATCCTGGATAATCCATCCACATAAAGATTGAGGACAAGAAAGAGTTAAACAGATACTGAGTCAATAGTATAACAGTCCACAGAAGGCATTTCATAAACCTTCTTGTCAAATAGATCAAAATAAAATCATTCACAATCGACTAAAAACTAGTGTACACAGTTGACATCTTAATTCAAAACGAAAAAGACAAGATTAAACACTCACAGATTCCTTGCCCACAAGTTTCTCCTGCAAAACAAGTATCTCTTGCTCTTTTTTGTTCAACAAAGCTTCTCTTCTTGTTAAAGCCTGCAAACACTCAAAACAGAACCACATTAGTAAAGCTTTCAACTAACCAAATCAACATCCAGATGGGGAAAAAACAGAGCAATGCGAACCTCCTCTCTATTAATTAGGGAAGCCTCAGTCAGCTCCAGATTTAATTTCCCATCATCTAGGGCTCTACGCTCCTTCTCGATATTCGCTTTTACGTCTTCTAACTCTTTTTCAAGTCGATTCAGTTCCTGAGATCGACCAAATATGAAATCCTCCCTTTGGTTAAGCAGGGCTTGTGCATCAAGTAATCTATCTTGTTCTTGCTGCAGGGTTTTCTGCCTTTCACATAAAGATTGTCTCTCAAGGCTTATCTCCTTCTCTTTTGCATCACAACTACAAAATCAAAAGAACAAGAAAATCAACAAACTCTCCAAAAAAATTCTTACTGGCTTTATACATCATTGGGGCAACTACACAGAGAAGTGTTCAACTAAGGGACTTAAATTGAAGGATACGTCGGGGACAATACATTTAATAATAGGAGTTGCACAATTGATCAATAATTCAATGAGTGACCCCAGCCCTTGAATGCATTGTCCCAATTGTCCCTCGTTTAAGCCCCTCAAATGAGAACTTCTCTGGAAATACATTATTTAACATTGTTGCGAGACAGTCAAGGAAGGCAGAACATAAAACCCTGAAGAAAGTGAGTGTGCTACTGGACATATTGAAAGGAAAAAAAAAAATCCTTGTTTGGTACCCTTCCCAAACTGCTATGGGTTGTATTGTGTCAAGAATACACCACACAAGTAGAGAACAGTTCATTAAATCCCATGGGATAGAATGTTCTGGGTAGGATTTTAATCTGGCCCCTAGACTTAGGTTATGCTGACATTAGGTTTTGACAGATAAAGTAAAACTGAGAATATGGTGATCAATATTGCAAAAATAACTGCACATACTCTGTCTTGAAGGACAGAATGTTTCTCCTAAGATCATCTTCACGTGCTTCAACTTCTTGCATCTTTCTTTCAGCGATACGGTGAAAACGACTAGCTTCTGCTTGCAAAGATTCTGCTACATGCAGCTTGGCCTCAGCCTCAGTGAATTTCATCTGAGCATCCTCCACCATATTCCGTGCTTCAGCCAATTTACTCTCAGCAGCAACCTTTGTTTCAGCAGATTCTGCACGCATCTCATGCATCGACTTCTCAATCTACATATCCAAACAAAAAATGTTAAGATGACATGCGAAGAAAGGGGATGGCTACTTCAAAGAGTCTCAATTGAAAACTTACACTGGATATACACTCTTCCTTGACTCCTACTGTCTTCTTTAGGCACTCCTCCCGTTTCCTTGCTTCAGCCAAAGCAGATACATATGCAGCTTGATCACGCTTGTGCAAAAGTTCAGCTGTCTCATTAGAGGCTTTAACTTCTTCATACTTGGAAGCTAACTCCTTTCTTTCCATTATGAGAAGACCCATGTGGTGTTGGTGATCAAAATCTAATTTAAGCTAACCTGGTCAGCGGAATACCAAATAGAGAAATTTGCTACTACACACTTCATGGGAAATATATGAACTATTCAAGTTTATCACTTCAAAAAATATCAGGGCAACACTCCGAAAATAACACCAGAGCAAAAGAAACAACAAACAGGGCTCAATACAGACAGCATGGGTACTAGAGACCCCAACTAAATCATTAAGCAGCAACGAAACAACAGAGGGAGGGGAGCATCAAACACGAGAAGAAAAAAAGGCAAATAACAAAAGATAAAAAGTAGAGGAATGGTTGTAGTTATATTGAAGAACAATGTCTTGAAAGCAATGTTGAATAGATATTTTTCAAGAAACAAAACTTTTCTTCATTCATTATAATGGTTCTTTGTGACACAGGTAGAAAAGGATAGAACTTAATAAAGATGGAAACCATGCACTTATGCCATTCCTTATTCAGGATAAAACAGAACTGATTTCTTATTTGGATCAATCAAAATGCATTATATACATACGAACCAGTCCAAAAGCATTCACTTATGCCATTTCTTATTCGAGACCAATCAAAATTCATTATAAAGGATTAAAAAAAATTTGTTACTATTTCATTTATCTATCTCCAGCGCAACACCACAAACTTAAAAACTCCGCTTGCCAGATAATCAAAGCGAACAGAAAGAGTAACAAGAAATGCAGAAAGGTGATCTATATTTTCTTTCGCTCCTAATTGGGCATATTGAAAATCTGAATCTTCAATTCCATTATTTTGCAAATGCTACATTCAAGCAAGAAATTCCTCCCACAAATTATATCAAAAATATTCCAACAAAAGAATTCCATTAAAGAAAAACACGCTACTGGAAACACCCAAAAGTAAAAGAAACAAGTACAGGGCAGAATTTGAAATTCAAATTTCAAAATCAAAATTCAAATTACAAGGAGAGAAAAAGAAACTACCTCGGCTTCAAGCTTAGCAATATAGGCAATGAGCGCAGCCTTGTCCCTTCGTTTAATCGACTCCTCATCAAAGCCAGCCTCTTTAAGACGCTTCCAGATCGCTTCATCACTGAAAGGGCTCTGCAGAATCCTAGCGCCTGGTGTAATCGACAGAGCTCTCCCGGAACCCGGAGTCCTAGCAAACAGTTCCGACTGCGGACTCGCCATAACGACGTCGGATCAGCAGTTCAGAACCGCGACGAAACCCTAGATTCTCTCTCTCAGTACCCCTTCTTCTCGTTGCTTTACCAGTATTGATCTGGCAATCTTCGTTTTCTTGCTTTTTCTTTCTTTAACTTTCTCTCTCTCTCAGTCTCTCTCAAGCTTTTTTGGAGCTCTTCGTCTCTGAGGTGAGAGTGAGGGCCACTGAGTCTGCTTTTGGGTCTTTGTCTCGTGCGTTGAAGCTTCTTTACTGTTTGGACTGAGTTGGGCGAGTTTTTGTACGGTAGGAAGAACCGACGTCGTTTTGGGGTTTGGTAAAGTAAGTCTGGGTTTTTAAAGCAATTAAGCCGCCTTTTAATTCTGCGTTTAGCGGCACAGATTAAAATTTAATTGAAAATTAATTTTGTGATTGTGAGACTTTATGAGGGGATCCCACTCCCCACGAACACACTCGCATTCTTCTAATGGATGGTTACCGGAGTCAACCCTCCACGTCATCAATATGGTAAAAGGCTATTTAATTTTTCGACGACATAAATTACATAATGCCAGCCAATTAAATTACTACTCTTCGATTTTTGTTTCTAATTGGCTATTATCTGAGATGGAAAGATTATCGTTATTCTACAATCCACTTTTAAATTTTTGGTTTACGTTGAAATACAAAGATAGACTTCACCCCTTTTTGAAAGAAAAAAAAACTTTTAAATTAATTATGGCATGTTTACGTACTATAAATGGAGAAAGCCATGAATCAAGAAACTTGTCACGTTTACTTACAAATAATGGAATCATAAGAAAGGAAATTATTTTCATTAGAGTGCTGCGAAACGAATCCTAAAATTAATTGAGTACACCTTACTACCAAAATATTTATTGAATTACTAATTTATCCTAATATAAAATGACCAAAAAGAATATATTGAATTGTGAAACAAATGTAATTTTAATAAGTACATCTTACTCACCATATTCAACCCTAATCATTTTAATATATTGAATTTTGAAAAATAAAAAATAAAAAAAATAACGTTTTTTTAGCACTGCTCGACCACGTGTATGATTAAGCTCATCATTTTACCTATTATCTCGTCATTTCTCCTATTTTTAATTTCAGTATTGAGATGTTGTGGCATGAAAAATGGGACAATATTCTCTTGTTAGGCAATCGCAAAAGAAGCTATGGATATAATCAAAGTTACTTTCTTCATTTGTTTCTTCTGCAATTTTTCATGATTTTTCTTTTCTAGGTGTTGGATGCATCCTTTTTGGAAATATTTCATAGGCAAACTAAACTAGTAGGCCCTTTTTCCTTTAACTTGGAACTCGTTATACTTCTCAACTCTAAATATTTTTCGTTTCTAACTGCTACGTCCCATCTCTATGCCTTTCTACAAATACTTTCCAACTGCTAAGGTTCAAAAAGGCTCTCTCATCACAAGTAGAGTGTATTAGGATGTACAAGGGGTATTTTTGGTAGTTAAATAGGGTGTACTTAGTTAATTTTACATTTTGATTAAAATATTAGGGCATACTCAGTTAATTTTAGAGTTTGTTTAGCAACACTCTTTCCATTATTCTCGACTTCCCATGTGTTTACTTAAACATAAGGAAGCATTTATTATGTGGGCCTAGCTTAAAATTCTTAATAAAATACCCACAAAAATCAAGAAACAATTCAATTAGGAGATGGTAGTTGATTTGATTCACATTCCTTGCTTAGAGTATCCACAATAGGCTCCCTAAACCACCTCATTATGCAAATTTTAGGGAGAAATTGGAAAAATACAACTCAAACTATGTTCCCTATCCACCTCCTAAAATAGGGAGACTTAGAGCATCCACAATGTGCTCCTTAAACCACTTCCTTAGACAAATTTTAGGGATGAATTGTAAAAACACAACTCCAACCATTCTCCCTATCCACCTCATAAAATAGGGAGACCTCTAGGAGCTTCTAAATCTGAGGAGAGAGAGATGACTCCTAATGGTTCCCTATAATTTAATGCTGCTTTATTGAATGAGCATTTCAAACCTTTATTTAATGCTAACTATTTTTTATTTTATTTTTTAATAGAGATGGACCAATCAAAAAAGAGTTATAGCATTTATGACTCCCTAAACTAGAGAGCATGATTAAAGTTTAAATTTTATAGAGAGCCCCTAAACTAACTTTTATATGTTTTTAGCTAAAATTTAACTAAAATATAGAGAGCATGATTGTGGATGCTCTTATAGGAACTCCTAAATTTGAGGAGAGAGAAATGACTCATAATGGCTCTTTATAATTTAATTATGCTTTTTTTAATGAGTATTTTAAACCTTTAATTAATGCTAACTATTTTTTATATTATTTTTTTAATAGAGATTGATCAATTAAAAAAGAGTTATAGCATTTATGACTCCCTAAACTATGGAGTATGATTGATGTTCAGATTTTATAGAGAGCTCATAAAATATATATTTTTTATAGCTAAATTTTAACTAAAAACTAGGAAGCATGATTGTAGATGCTCTAAGTAAACTTGTATATAAGGTAATTAAAGAATTGGAATTGGATAAACTATTATCCCCTAATTGATTCCATTCTTGATGTTTTGGGTATTTGACTACGAATTTTAATATGGAACCGATATAATGTTTGATTCGTTTGTATTACTAAACGCATGAGAAATTAGAAATTAGAATCATTCCAATACCCATGTGTTAATAAACATGGAGAAGCAAGAATTGGAATCATTACAATACCAATGTGATCCTTAATCTTTTAGTCCACCCATCAATTTGTTACATCTCGTTGCATTCCATCAACACATTTGTCAAAAAAATTGGTCACTTGATGACACACAACCAACTCTAAAGGGTCTTTTTCATTAAAATACAACATATCAACCCAAAAGAAAACATAAATATCATGTATTATGCTCAATCATCTCCATGATGGAATTTTAGAGTTAAATCCAAAATGGAGAGTAGATGCCTTATTGAGCAAGCAATATGATTTTTTTTTTGTCTCATTTGTGGATGAGTTATATTCAGATAAAAATAACCCTTTAAAGTTGTTAACGTGACCAATTTTAACGAAAAGTTTAATGGAATGCGACAATATGGAACACATTGATGCTTAGAACGAAAGATAAGGGTCACATTGATGCACAAACTGATAATCTACAGTCGGTAGGTGCTCTAGGCACCCTCTGCCGATTCAGCCTCTCAAAAGGTATCTCTCAAGAATCCATTGGGTTCCTTACTGGTATACTCTTTAGGACACGTGGCAGCCCCCCCAAATTATTCCCACGAGTCCCACATCAAAATTTTACACCAAGAGGACACCCAAAACCTCTATAAATAAGGTCTATTGCCCCTAGGGCACAAGGTAATAGTTATTGGACATTCATGCCCTTACTTTGTCAATAGCTAACTCCTCTCTCCTTTGGCTAACTTTAGCATCGGAGGGCTTTTGGTCGATACCACACCGATACCTTAAATCTTATCTATTGCTTTTCCCTTTATCTTTGTGCAGATCACCTTCAGCTTGTCGAAGAGAAGTGCTAACCGAAGGCAGATCAAATCACACCTCATATTTAAGTTGGGCTCACTACTGGTCATCTAATTTTGAGCACCAACAATTTGTATTTGGATTAAATACATTTTTGGTCAATGTGTTTATGCTTAAAATTTATTTTAAATATCTGGAGTTTTAATTTCATCAATTTTGTCAAAGAGTTGCAAAACATTAACAATTTAAGCCATTTTCATCAATTTTATACTAAAAAATATTAAAATATTCATTAAGCAATTATACTTCATGCATAATATGTGTGCCAATTGGCCTTTTTATTTTATTTTATAATTTAACAAATTGAATAAATTTTTTTGATAAGAAAACGCAAAAAGGAATGTGGGTGAAGACAGTTGAACTTGTTGTAATTATCCTATTTTTCTTTTCATTTGAACTATTTTTAGTTATATTGTTTTACTATTTTACCCTAACTATATTACACTTTATTTTTTGAGATTTCTAGTTAATTCTGGTTATTTTCTGAGATTTTAAATATTTCACTTTCAAGACCTTCTTCTTTCATATATATATCTATACACATAAACCAAAAGACAGAAAATGGTAAAACATTCAAAATACCAGAAAATGTCCTTGGTTAATGCAAATATTAATAATTGAAATTATTAATTAAATGAGGATAATATGGTAAATTCTCACGTTTTCATATTTAAAAAATAAAAATAAAAATAAAAATCAGATCATGGATCCTATTTTTATGAAATTAAAATTTTTTTTTAAAAAAAAACCTTTCGCAGGCGCGAAAGAGTGTGCGAATAGACTAATATATATATATATATATTAAAAAATAATATTTTAAAATACAAAAATGAAAAAAGGAGGGAGAGATTAGGGCATTGGGGAAGATGGGTCAGCATCACCCCAACCACCAATCCCCACCCAAAACCACATTTCTACCTCTTCCCATAATTATTTTGTGTTCGTTGTTTATGAATTTTCTTTTTTGCTGTTTTAAATTTTGGTTCGGGTGCAGGGAGATTTCAAAGTGGCGACTGGGTACGGGGTTGCAGTTGGCAAAGGGGAAGCGTTGTGTTGTGGAGGGAGTGGGGGCAGAGGGAGGTGTGGTGCTGGAGTACCATAATATTCTATAATATATCGTGGTGTTGGGCTGTTTGTTTCTTTTAAATGACATTATTTTATTATTAAAAATGATTTTATAAAATATTAAAATAACTATATTTATATATTTATCAAACATAAATGAATTATTTACTAATTTTAATTAAAAAAATTGACGGAAAGGACTAAAATTGTTAACGTTTGGTACCAAATTGATGAAATTGAAAACTTAGTGACTAAAATAGATTTTTAGTATAAACACAAAAACATCATTCAGTAAATATGGTGAACATCACAATTGCCAATCTGGTCCATCAACCACAGCAGCTGGATGATATATTTCAACAGTGAGATTTATGATTCCTCTATCCACAGCATAGACCAAGATACATATATAGAATCTGCCTCTATCCACAGCATAGCTCAAGATACATATACCCAAGATTTTATTTCTGCCACTAGAATCTGCTGCCCCTTGTTCACAGCAAAACCACTAATTGAATTGTGAATATATATATAGTACTGCAAGCATGGCAATATATAATTGTTTTATTCGGCACTTCGATTGTGAGGCCAATTTTGATTTTCTTCGTAAACTTTTTTACATACTATTGTATTTTTCATTTTTCCTAGCAATGGAAGTGCAAAGCACACCATCTCAATCATCTCCTTGTAATAATTAACTCTTAAAAGATTATTGGTAATGCCACAATAATTAACCCAATTAATTATAAGTTGAACTGCATGCAAATCTTAATCACGTCTAATAGGGCTTCTCTCCAAGCCAATTCCCTGGAGGATCATAGTTGCATATGATGAGATGCCCTCCTCCATTTGTGCACGCAGCACGAGCACAGCCCACACGCTTTGTGTCCTTCCACACAATCTGCGTATAATGCCCACACATATGCCCAGGGACGCAACTATTGGTCTTGTGATTATAAAACTTCTTCTCATGAGACCACGACTTTACCGCGAACCTCCCGCCCCACAGCTGCTTCCCGCCGCCCCAGAAGATGTTTTCGCCGTAGGGCCCGTTCGAGTGGATCATCCCGCACCCTGAAACCGCTCTCAGGTTGGCGTAGTGCCGAGCAAATTCTGCCAGCTTTTCGTCCCACTCCAATGGCGGAAGCCCTATTTGCTTTCGTGCATTGTTGTGAACCCTCAAAAAGTCATGTGCGTTTGCGGTTTGGACACGGAATTGAAAACGAAGAGCTTCTGTGGCTTGCGGCCATATGTTGATGCATAGAAAAGCTAATAAGAACTTCGCTACGCTTCCCATTGAGCTTCTTGTTCTTTTGGAATTAATGGTGCTCCTTGCAGGGGTTTGCGTATTGTATAAATAAGCTGATCAGAAGCCTCTCAAGGTGCTTGAAAATGGGATGTGTGTAGCAATGAGAGATAACGGAATAACTGATAATTTGTTTCGTACGTCTTAATAAGGAGAAGACATATCTGAATGAGCCTGCGTATTGGTTTACATTATGTCAAGATTTAGCTAATTTGTTTAACAACATTAGTGAGTTATAACAAATTAACGTAATTATGTTTCTCAATTAAGTCCAGTTTAATTAGGTCATGGGGATACAAAATTAGGCGGCAAACCCTGGCCGTGGAGAAATTATTGTATGGTATTACAGTTATGTGGTATAAAAACCATCTACGTGTTATAATATGAAAGGACGATGGAGTTTAGATTTTCTCACTTTTAGAGTATAATATATATTAATAATACAAGTTATACCGTGTCACATCCTCACAGTATCTATGACATGATTAATTATTTAATTCAAGACTTGTAACATCACTGAACCATATTATACGTGATACGACAATATAAGTATCAATTAAAACGACCTCGCAATTTCTACTTTATTAGTATCAAATCAGAGCAATGTATGAAGGGACAAAATTTAACTGTTTGTGTGAAAAATCATCTCTAAACTTCGTTGAAGTACATTATCTTAACTTGCAATGTTGTTTCTTAATTGTTAGGGGTTTTAGTTTGTGGGTAAAGTTGCTTCCCTCATCCGTAATTTAGAACTAAACAATCTAGAATTGGGCTTTTCCTTCGCCAGATCTAGCCAAAATCCTTTTTTGCCTAGGAGGACGTACAGTTCTCTTACGCTAAGCCTACTTCCCTTCTTCGTTTTCAAACAGCTTGAATTTCATGAATATTTTGCTACATAAGCTAATTTAAGTAGAGTAGCAAAAAGAAGGATGGGTCAGATTCAAACCTTGACATCAAGAAAAACTCATCAATTTTCTAAAAGGAAAAAGAAATTTTTTTTCATATTACCATTCGAATAAAGCAGAGTTGAGCTAATCATGAATTAGGGAAAAATGGAAGATGAGGGAAACCGAAATATGGGTTTTCTCAAGAGAAACTTTTCGAACGGGTTTGGCCTTTTAATATGTCAAATAGTTTCAACTGTTGGATCTAACTTAACATAATCATATGGCTAAGATAAATTTGGTCCTCACATATTTATTTTTAGGTCCTTAGGTGAGCGGGACTTTTCATATTAAATATGAAGCATGCTCTTAGCATATAAAATATTTGTAAAAATGTAGAATACCGATACATTTTTATTGATAAACAAACAAAAGTACAAAGCGACGGCGTGTAGAATATAAGTAAATCTTTTCTAGTGGGCAAACACAACAACATGTTGAATTGATTTGGGGACAATCATGAACCACCCAAAATAACTTAACCCCAATTCAGCAATTAGAAGCACATGTACTCAAACCTGCAATACATCTGTTTGGGGGTGGTCGAAATTCAGCAAAGTTGTTCTTCCATTTCTTAAAATGAGAGCATCCTTTGAAAGATGATTCAATATATACACCCAAGTGTTGTAAATTTGGTGGTGGTAGCCGTGCAAACACACAAAAACCGAGGACTGAGAATTTACACATTCAAATTTAGAGACCTCTACATGTCAAATTTTGATTTCCTTTCTTGATAGAATTTCTCTAACCACCCTTCTATCAGCCTAATTTCAGTTGCCCTTTGATCTACCAACCATTCAGGATCTTCTTTCTTTGAGAAACGCAAATCTATGTGGTGGGCACCTGATAATCACAAAACAAAATAAATGAGCAGTTAATAGCTTCCAAGCAATGTTTTCTTTTTCTAAGTGCTCTGCTCTCAGATGACAACTATAAAACAGATATATGGTTGGCTCCAACTGTTTAGAGTAGATGATACCTTCTTCGGTAACAAGAGCAACGATAGTTTCTGATACATTCTGCAGGACACTGTGATAGATATCATTAACAGCCATTAGAACTCAAATAATGAACTTTTGATGGCAATAGTTGTTGAATCAAATAAAAAGAACGGTTACCTGCCACCACTCCATGGATCCAATAAGCCATTGGAGAAAATGATATTGCTTCCAAACGATTTCAAGGTGGCCTTAATATCCTTCAAATTTAATGCCCAAGAGTATCAGTATCAAACTATACAATTTGAGAAGGTACGAATCATATGATTATGTCAGCACCAATGAACAGGAAAAAGTAGCTAGAGGCACATGCTGTTGTTACCCACATTCTAGGAAGTAATTGCTTCAAATGTTCCATTTCGAGATTTCAACGATTGAAGTTGTAATAAATGTGAAAACAACTACTTTGGAACACTATAAGATCGGAGGTCAACAAACACTAGGAGATCGGAGGTTATAGGTTTCTCTTGCATGGTAAGTGACAATAAGTAATCTAAATTATACCCAAAGTGTTCAAATTTATTTTGATCAAAATATATTGCCAGACCAGTAACATTGCAGCAGATTTATTTTGAAAAGAAAAATCACCTCTATTAACTCATAGGAGGTTACACAATAAACTAAGATAATTATGTGATGTAAGAATAGGATGTCTACCAAACACTATCAACTATCAACCCAAGGAAAAGATAGGATGAATAAGGGAGAGAGATAAGATCATTATGCAATGAACGAGTACACAGACACTATTTCACACTAAGTAATTAATATTTAGCAACAGGGATGATCAAATGATCAAATGAAAATATACTTTGAAGTGGAAAGGATAAATAAATTCATAATACATCATCCTCTTACATGTCCGCCAAATTCTGTTGTGATCCGTGTAGGCCTTGGTTTCACATTGTGATCCTTCCAGCACTCCTCTTGAAAAGAAGAGAGATTATAATCATAGGTTTGAAACATGCTTGCATCCTGGCTACAAGACATAGGCATAACCATCTCTGTGCAAGCCTGTATAAAAGAAAGGAAATAACAGAAGACATTCTATTACAGGAATTTATGAGTACTTAATTTCAACCGTATGTTAATTTAAAAAGAAAATACTATCACTGTAACACTGATAGACCTGCCAATTCCACCCATCCGTGCCAACGTCGGAATCATCTATCAGCTCAAAGCATTTAGCTTGTCCAGTGTAATTGTAGAATATGCTTACACCTTCAAATATGCGCTCCAGTGTGCTAGTCCCATCAGGACAACCATCAATCTTTCTGCAAACCTACTACAAGAGCTAAATGACTATTTTGACTTGCAGCAGAAGCAAAAACCATTGCAGAAATCTTGCTAGACATTTATTCAAAAGCAGGCACAACCCCAAAAGGGAAGACTAATTTCTGGTCTTAATTCCTAAGATAAGATACAAATAACAAAAGCTAGCGAGAGACTATATTGGAAGTGGCAATTATTGGCAAACACCTTAATTGGAAAAAACCTTTTTTTTTGTCATGGCATTGCAGTTGAAGAAAACATAAACCAATGAGGGAAATTATTTAATCATCAAAACATAAATAAATAGCACAGAACCTAACTTTCTACATTATTTGAGACAGAATATTATACTTGAAATAGATACGCAGAAGACACCCTGGTATGCGGAAAAAAGGAACTTGGATGTGCCTCCGAATTTTCCTTTCCTGGATTAATAATATATAAAAAATTGCCTTTGCGCATTTCGGAGCGGCTGGCAAATAATAGGTTTCTAGTATACTCACTACGAAATAATGTCTGCGCTGCGAGAAAATGACCAACTAACCTCTTTTATCGGGTGTCCTGGCAAAGGCATTACAAATTCAGCAGCATATGGGTAGTTCACCATTGCCAAATAACTATACGCAGACTCCAACCAATTTGCAAGATCATTGGTACTATTTAGTTCCCTGAAAAATGGCTTTGATCAGCTGAAACTCAGTGGCCAGTGAAGAAAGACCATTTCCATTCTCCACTAGGAGGATAAAAGCAAATGCAGTAAATTGCACAGATTCCTTACCGACATAAATGGAAAATTTTTGTCAGCTGGCGAAGGCCGTTTTGCTTCTTACCCTCGGTTACCAATGTATCCCAGGACTCTTTTATAGTGTTAAAGCAGCTGTTGCTTTCACGCTAGGGATATAAGATGGAGGTTATAATTCGTCACCAAAAACACATACACCATGAAAAATACGGGAAAAGAAAAACATAAGTTACCTTGAAACCATTAGAAACGATATCGTAAAACGTTTCTGGTGGCACAATATCTTCGAATTGAAGAATTGGTGCCGAAGAAGCAAGTGCACCAATTGCAATGTGAGGATACTTAAGCCTCATCCAGGCTGCTAACACTGTTTTCAAAATCAAAGCATGAAAATGACATCCCACCAAAGAGACCATTTGCCTATTTGTGCTAATTCTACATAATTAATGCAATTGAATGAATATATCACACATTTTTATAATTTCACCAAAATCCAAAATAACAGTAACTTCACCAAAACAGAGCATTAAAAATTTACTTACTTCCGCCATAGGATCCACCGAAAAGCACGACGGGGCAACCTTCCGCCCGCAAATTTCGCTTGAGCTCCGTGATTAATACGGCAAAATCAGCGAGGGCTTGCTCGGCCGTGAGAAACGACAGCGTACTGGCATTCTTATACGCCTCGTCTTTACTCCCATACGGCATGGACTCTCCATAGTACCGGTGCTGCCAAATTCAGAAAGCAAATTAATTTTCGGTCTTTGACTTCCTTTTCTTTTGTAATTTTCTTCGGAACCAAACATAAACTTACTTCGGGAAAGAGGATCATAGCGCCAAATTGGGGGGCGACTTCCCAGACGAAGCCGGTGTTTTCGGCGAACCATTCGATGTCACCTTCGTTGCCGCAGTAGAAGAAGATGGGGCCCAGTCGCTCTGGGCCCACCCAGTGCTCGGTGTTGATGAGGTACCGCTGTTTGAACCTCGGGGAATCCGAGAAGCTGAAATGGTCAAGACGCTGAGCGAAATATCGGGTTTCGTATATGATTTGTGGTTGCTGTTGTTGTCGTTTCGGTGGTTGAGGTTGTTTTGGTGGTGAAGAGCTTGAGAACTTGCCCAGGAAGCGTGGGGCCCATCTGGAGGAGGGGAAATTGGACAGTCGTGATGCAAGTGACGGTGGAGATGAAGTGATGATGGTGATGAAGAGGAGGAGAGAAAGAGAAAGATGGGAGTATTTGGGCTTTGCCATGTTTGCTGTTTGAAGAACTGAACTGGTTCCTGGAGAGCTGTTGCGGCTGGAGGGTCAGCTGGAGGTGGAGCTCAGGTGAGTGTGAGAGCAGTGTAAAGTAAAAGCGAGTAGTAAATTTAGAGTTTGATTGATGTGATTTGACACGTGGGATGATGTTATTGGAATCTTTTTGTGGAACTGTTAAGCATTGACTAAGAGGCTAAACGAACACCACATGAATCTTGGGCTCCGGCTGTCGTTTCTAAGAGTATCTCTATCCATAAGGAGTAAGGCTAATGCTAAGGTAAGGCAAGGGCTGTCATTATTCACAGCCTTGCCATTTGTGGATCCACCCAAAAGGTTAAGGCCATTTCCAGCAGCCCCCTCGGGCTCGGGGGGGGGGGGGAGAGCCCAAATCCAAGTTCCAGCAACAAAGGCTGGCCCGGGCAGTGTGGGGTCCACTTGCCTGGGCTGGCCCCAAGGCGAAGGCAGCCCGAGCGAGAGCCCGAGTGCGAGCTGACGTCATCGCTTATGCCAGCGTGACGTCAGCACGCGGTTGTAAAATTTTTTTACCGTTGGCGCGTGCAATGCACGCGCCAACGTTAAAAAAAATTCAAAATCGCGCGTCAGCTTTTGCGCCCAACGGTAACGTGCGACGTGGCAGCCTCTCGTCCTTCCGATTTCGCCTTGTCAGCCAATCCGACGGCCTGGAATTTTTCCAGGCAAAAAATGATGAAAAAAAATCGTAAAAATTTTTAAAAAAATCCCAAAAAATACTGACTTTTTTTCTATAAATACCAACACCTACTCTTCAGTTTTAACAACAAATTCTCATACATCTTCTCCTTCTCCAACTATTTTTCACTTTCTATTTAATATTTTCTTCACTTTTTACTCTAAATTGTTTTCATTTTTAAGTATAATTTTTCTCTATCATTATGGCTTTTTCTCAAGAAACCGGAGGGGCATGGAGCGTCATGGAAGATGTCTTGTTGTGTGAGTGTTGGATCCAAATTAGTCATGATCCCATATCGGGTAATGAGATGAAATTCAGTCAAATGTGGAAAAAAATTCTTCACGCATTTGTTGAAAGATCGGGTTCCACCCGTACGGAAAGCGCATTGTCAAGTCGGTGGAAACTTCTCAACAAAGAGTTGGGGAAATGGAGAGATGCCCTCACAAAAGCGATGAATAACCATGCAAGCGGGGAAAATCTAAGCGATGAGGTAATTACTTGTAATTTTCATTTTATTAATTTTAATTTTAATGTTTCTTGCAATTGGTATATTTTGTTAATATTTCTTGTATTTCCATATGTATTTAAATGTTTCTTGCATTCTTTATATTTTGTTTATATTTCTTGTATTTCTAATATTTATATAAATGGTTGTCGCATTCTCTATATGTTTTTAATATTTCTTGTCTTTCCATATTTATTTGAATGTTTCTTGCAATTTTTATATTTTTTTTTATATTTCTTGTATTTCTAATATTTATTTGAATGTTTCTTGCATTCTTTATATGTTGTTAATATTTCTTGGATTTTCATTCATATGTTTATCTTTTTTGCATTACCAATTTTTTTTTAAGTTCCTTGCTTATTCAATTTTTTTTATATAGATTGTGCAAGCTCAAATGTTCTATGGTGCTACTGGAGTAGGGAAAAAAAGTTTCACCCATACCCAATGTTGGGAGGTGGTGAAGCATTGTAAAAGATTTAGCATTATTCCAACGGCTCCAACGGTGGTGTTAAACGAGACGCCACTTCATGATTCACAAGCTTCGGATTCGCCTATGGAATCCCCTATGAGTGAAGACTTACCCATTCAAAAGGAGCCGAGGCCTATGGGGAGGAAGGCGGCAAAGGCAAAGAGAGGAGTTAATTCTACGAGTAATACCTCTAAATTTTTAGAGGAAATTGCAAGGCAAAGCGCCTTGAGAATTGAAATAGACAAGAAAGTCCAAGAAGATGATAGGGCAATGGCAATAGAATTTGCTAAAGAAAGGGAGTATGTACGCAAAGAAAGGGAGTATCGACGCAAAGAAAATGAAGAAAGGAAGGATCGGGAAACCATGGCCATGGATACAAGCCACATGTCTCCTGAAACAAAACAATATTGGAAGCTAGAACGAAAGGCTATTATGAGACGAAAACTTTTTCGTGATGATGGACCTAGCAATACGGATTGGTTAAATGATGAAAACCCTTAAGTTAGTTTGCTTGCCTTTTCATTTCATTGTATTTTAATGATTTGTTTTAAAAATTAGTTGGAAGTCATGTATTTTATTGTATTAGTAGTATTAGTTTTCTTTGAGTTACCAAAGAAACTATTAAATAAAATTCCTTTTTATTCAAAAAATTCAATTTATAAAAAAAACTAACCACAACCAAAGCATTAAATTTGAAAATCTGAAATTTGAAAAAAAAATTTATCTGAAATTTGAAAAAAAAATTTATCTGAAAATCTTATCCGAATATTTTATCAGAAAATCTCATCCGAATATATTGTCCAAATTAATTGTTTAGGTAAACAAATTTGTGAAAAAAACAAAAAATTGAATAGTACCCCCCCCTTGCCATGGCAACTGCTGGAAGTGGAACTTACTTTTTGCAAGGGCAGACACTATTCCTGTGAATAGTGTCCCCCCTAGCCCCCCCTTGCCATGGCAAGATTCCAACTGCTGGAAATGCTCTAAGGCTAAGGCCAATACTATTCATTGTACTTTATTTTCTTTTTTTTTTAATTTACTTTAAACTATTAATTTTGATAATCTTTTGTAATTAAATTTTCGGATAAGATTTTTGGTTGCCACGTGTCCATTATTTTTCAGAAAAGATTTTCGGATGAGAATCTCGGTTGCCACGTGTCTTATTCTAGATAAAATTTTCGGATATTCATTAAAAAAATGATAATCTCATATTTCAGATAAGATTTTCAACCTCTAAAAATGTGCCACGTGTCCCATGTCAGATAAGATTTTCATATATTTAAAAAAAAATTATAATATCAGATTTTAGATAAGATTTTCACCCTCTAAAATTGTGTCACGTGTCATCTCTATCTTATGAATCCCTCTATAAAACTACACCATCAACTCATACCTCTTACATCATCTCTTATATATTCCTTCATTTCTCGGATTTTACATAACACATTATACTCTCAATGTCAAACTTGAGGAGGGTGTTGGAGAGGCAACAGAAATAAGAGGAAGAAATCTGGCGCAGACGTGCTATTGAAGATCAGGAGGCCGATGAAGAAGACGAAGAAATGTTTGCAGCAACGATGTGTATGTTTAATCAATCAAGGCAACACTGCCGTCGTCGTGCTCCGAATGTGGACAAACGTAGGGAGTCTCGGGGTAAGAATCTCTTGGAAGATTACTTTATCCCAAATTTGTTATATCATGTTTCTAAGTTTCGAGAGAGATATAGAATGCAGCCACATTTGTTCCAAAAAATCATGCATGATATTTGTAATTACGACACATACTTCATTCAGAAGTATGATGTTGTTGATGTTTTGGGTCTTCTCCCGGAGCAAAAACTTACAACTGCTTTGCGGATGCTTGCTTATGAGGCATCTGCAAAGCAGGTGGATGAGATTGCAAGGTTGAGAAAATCAACTGTCCTAGAGTGGTTGGTGAGATTTTGTTATGCAGTGAAAAATTTATACACGAGGGAGTACCTTCGCAAACCCATGTCGAGGGACCTGCAAAGGCTTCTCTAAAAAGCTAAGGCTCGAGGTTTCCCAGGAATGATTGGAAGCATCGATTGCATGCACTGGCAGTGGAAGAATTGTCCTACTGCTTGGCAAGAAGAGTACGGGAATCGGAAGGGCCAAAAAAGTATAATTTTGGAGGCCATAGCTTTATTCGACTGTTGGGTTTGGCATGCCTTCTTCGGGGTTACCGGATCTCAGAATGACCTCAATGTCCTTGGTCAATCACCGGTATTCGACGAGGTATTGCGAGGTCCCCCCCCCCCCCCCCCCCCCCCCCCCGTACCAAGTCAACCAATACCGTATACTCTGGTGCGTACTATCTTGCTGACAGAATTTATCCTAGGTGGATGACATTCGTGAAAACAATTCCGAATCCCCAATCCGAGAAGAAAAAAGCTTTGCTGCCTTTCAAGAAAGTTATAGGAAAGACGTGGAAAGGTGTTTCGATATCTTGCAAGCTCGTTGGGTAATTATTAGAGGTGCTGCTCAGATGCTAGATGAGGAGGTGCTGTGAAGTATTATGATGACTTGCATCATCCTCCACAACATGATTGTGGAGGATGAGTATGACTACGATGCTCCAGAGGTGTTTGAACCCAATCCTATGAACACGTCATTGACAAGAATATATGAAAGGCCGATGGGACCAAATGGACAACCAATGTAGCCCGAACTGTTACTTCGGGATGGTCAATACAACAACCCCATGATTGATCGTTATCAAGAAATGCAATCTTCATATGTTCACGAGAGACGTCAACTTGACTTGATCGAGCACTTGTGTGAGATGAAAGGCAATCACAGTGGATGAAGTCAAGATTAGTGCTTTGTTTGGAATTATGCTCGGTTTTTAATTATGCTTTATTTTGTGTGTGGTGTTTTTTGGAATTATGCTTCTTTTATTATTATGCTTTTAAGTATGGTTTGTTTTGTGTGTTGTTTGCAATAAATTAAGGTTTGTTTTTAATTAATCTTTGTTTTGATGCGCAAATGTTTTTAATAAATAGTCATATTATTTAATGTTTTCTCTATTGAATAAAAAGGAAACAATACCACAAATTAATACAATTGTTAGGAATTGGTGTGGAAAGTAAAAAATATTGGAATGAGAAGAAATTGTATGAAGATTTGGTGTGGAAAGTGAATAAAATTGTTAGGTATTTATAGGGAAAAAATCTAGAATGTTTTGGTATTTTTTTTAAAAAAAAATTCAGAATTTTTTCGAATTTTTTTAGCCAAAAAAACGAGGACCGTCAGATTTCTGAAAAAAAACCAATTGGAGCTTCCGGGTTGCGAAATGTGGCACATTCCCGTTTGATTCTGTCATGGATGACGTCAGCGTTGACGTCACCGCCCTCAGGCTGAAGCCCAGGCGAAACCTGCCCTTGGGCTTACCCGGGTTGGTGGGACCCAGGGCTTGCCCGGGCCAATTCTCTTGCGTTGGAGCCCCTTTGTGCTTGCTTAGGAGGCCTCCTGCCCGGTTTGCATGTAGCGCTAGAGCTGCTCTAAGAGAATGTCCACCCCAAAAGGCTAAGGCAAAGACAAGTCAATGGCTGCTATTATTCACTTGAATAGTGGCAGCCTTACCTTTTTTGGTTCCACCCCAAAAGGCTAGGGCAAGGGCAAGAAAAAAAAAAGATTTTATGCAACAAAATATAAATAACTTAGAAATGCAAGAAATAAAATGATTATGCAAGAAAAAAATATATATGAAAGAAAATATAAACAATTTACAAATGTAAGAAAAAAAAATTACAATTTACAAATATTGGAAGGAGAAGAGTTTTTATGAGGATTTGGTGTGGAAAGTGAATAAAATTGTTATGTATTTATAGGGAAAACATCCATAATTTTTTGGTATTTTTTTTTCGAATTTTTCGAATATTTTTTTCTCTCGTTGACGTCAACGCCTTCGGGCTTGAGCCCAAGCAGATCTTGCCCAGGCGGTTTGGGGCGCGCTGGAGGTCCAAACCCCTGCACAGGGGCCTCTTGCCCTGGCAAAAGGGCCTACGCTAGAGGTGGCCTAAACGTTTCAAGTCTAAGACATGTACTCTTAAATTGGGCTACTTTTTTGTATAGCCCCGCCAATGAATTTGTTTTGGGCCCAAAGGTAATTATAATTTTTATTAAATAAAAGGAAACAATGTTTCAGAAAGAGATTCTAAGAGTATGTCCACCCCAAAAGGTTAAGGCTAACACAAAGGCAAGACAATGGCTGCTACTATTCACGTGAATAGTGGCAGCCTTGCTTTTTTTGGTTTCACCCCAAAAGGCTAGGGCAAGAGCAAGAAAAAAAAAAGAATATGCAACAAAATATAAACTTGTTATGTATTTATAGGGAAAGTGAATAAAATTGTTATGTATTTATAGGGAAAACATCCATAATTTTTTGGTATTTTTTTTATAAAAAAAATTGAATTTTATTTTTATCTTTTTCAATTTTTTTGAATTTTTTTTTGCTCACTGATGTCAGCGCCTTCAGGCTGAAGCCCAGGCAGGATTAGCCTTTGGGCTTGCCCGGGTTGCTGGTTGCGCACTGGAGATCCAAACCCTTCAAAAGGGGCCTCCCGCCCTAGCAAAAGGCCTTGCGCTGGAGGTGCTCTTAGAACAGGAGCTTCTCCAATAAGATTTGTAATTAAACACTAGTTGATTTTTAATCTCAACTATTCATACAGTGACTAAAATTAGAAGTGTTTAGCTAATCTCTTTTTTAAGCAACATGATAGTATTTTTATTGATATGATGATCACAAGTATAATCGGGCTATGTAGCCTACCATCTCAACCACAAGTGGAAAAAGGAACGTTGCCCATGATAGAGCACCCATCGTCCCTCCAAATACATACCCGTAAAAAACTACTCATTACAATCTTCAAACAAAACATCAGTAATAAATCTGGAGGTTACTTAAACCAATATGTAGTGCAAAGCAATCAATACAGTAAGCCACACCATTGGTGGATATGCATATAACCTTCTCCAATGATATGAGACAACAAGTTCTTGGTGTCCTCCACAATTGGGCCTAAACAAGACTGGACATGGATGTACCTTGAATTGCTGAGACGATTTGGAGAGTATCCCTCTAAAAGAAAAAATTCATAAAACCCCTCTCAATCGCTTACAAAAGACCAACATGTGCAGCCAATGCCTCAACATGAGCTAAGAATATGATTTGCGAGTTTTCTGCATATGTGGGTATATTAATTTATAATGTCTTCCTAAGGGAACAGGTTTTATATTTATGCTCGTGCATGTTTTCGACATGTAAATCTCTGTTCTTCATTTTGACCTTTTGGTTATGTTGATTAATTTTATCTCAACTTTGATTTCGTCAATATGAGTTATGTTGCCATCAATGTTTAAAAGTCAAATTCAAAGTTTAAGAGTTACAATGGACTTTTAATTTGTTTCCATTATTTACCTTCAATATTAAAATAGACATATAAAATAAGTAATACATGCAAATTGCGCATCGATTCAATAAGTTCAATACAAGGATTTTTATTTTTTTTTCCAGCATTTTTAGCATGAAATGGGCCCCCACTTTATATGCAGCCTTTGTGTCCTTGTTTACCATGTTGGGCTGGTAAACCTCACTCCACCATGCCTCGTTTCATAATTCCATCATGTTTTAGGTAATGGAAAGACCAACACAGCTAGAGTAAACAAGGAAACGTCCATGCACTGTAACCTCACAGATGCATATCATGTGTGGAATGGAAGATATAAGTACCAATTCAAACGCCCATGCTCGTTTTACTTTACAGTCGGTACCTTCTCCAAGCATTGCGAAAATGGATAACAATTAGTTGTTTGTGTAAAAAATCTTCTGTAAACTTCATGTAACTAATGACTATACCTGTGAAAAATCACCCCAAATTGATTGATACCAAACATTTTTGTTCACATAAACCAATTAACTATAACAAGACATAATCAAATTAATGGAATGCAGAGAAAAGCAAGTTCAACAAGGGTTTTTTTTTAATCAAATATAAACTTCATTAAATAAATTTTAATAATACAATTAAAGACATCAACATACCATCTAAAATATCAATCCCAAAATGTTTGGTATCAATCGATTGTTAAAGTAAACAAAACACACACGTGAACAATGAACAATTTCAACCCTGTGAAAAATCACCCCAAATCGATTGATACCAAACATTTTCACATAAATTTATAACAAGACAGAATTAAATTAATGGAATGTAGAGAAAAGCAAGTTCAACAAAGGTTTCTTTTTTCTTTTTTGGATCAAATTAAATTTCATTAGATAAATTTTAACAGTATAATCAAAAACATTAACATGATACTTAAAATACCAATCTCAAAAGGGTAACAAACTAACGAAGATTTTGATTCCATATAACACCCCACTATCAATTATCTGTTTAGATTAAACGAAACAAACACTAGATTTGCGAGACGCGATATTTACTTGATGAAGTGATTAGGGATTTCAAATACAACAATTAATTGGAAGCAAATGGTAATGAGATTTGTGTCAAGCTAATATAATTCACAAACTAATAATAATACATAATTGTGAGATCCAATCGCAGCCATTAGAAATGTGCTAATCTAATGATTTAAAACTTTTGTAATAAATACAGTTATATGAATTCGGCCATATATATTAATATATAATTTTCAATGATGGCCCTGGAAAAACTACAAGTTATAATTTGCACGTCTTTTACACATTTTTTCGTGAAGTATAAACTGCAAAAGGTTTTCCCTATAAATTTTGAAAATGGAGTTACAAACCTTAATTACAAATTTTTAGACACAAGGTATGAAAGCTGTGATTTTTATTATAGTTGTGGCAATGACAACAATATTGATGCCTACACTAGAATCTAAAGCATATTAGGTTTGTATACTTGTTTAGTTATAAGCCAAAAAATTGATTAATTACTATGATGAAACAAAGCACTAATAAGTATTCCAACCAATTCATTATGCCTACTTCAAAATTTTAACACTTTTTCTTTTTCTTTCTTTTTTCTTTTTTTTTAAATTTAAAATATATATCTTTGGAATATTTGGTGGCTTCACGTTGTAAGTTAATATATACAACTACATGAAACCCTTCAAACTAATAGGCATTTTTCAATTTCATACATGATTTGTTGGACATTTACAAACTCATATATAATCCTCTGAAAACCCTATAAATTACCCCTACCGTAAGTCAAATTGTTAATAAATCTATTAAATGCCTACATGGAAAATCGAGAATCCCACTTGTATGCTTACAGAATGTCAAGACCTGATTCGAAAATAAGGAATATTCTCGAATCATGGTGTGAATCATACCATAATCATAAGAATAAAATCATACAACCATGATATGATAAGAAATAAAGCTACAAATAATATAAATTTACTTAACAATGCAAAATTAGAGTCGCAGTAGCTCGTAGTTAAATACACACTTAGATCCTTATCAAACGGTTGACTACTTACAAATATTAATTACACAAATCAACAACAAAAGCCTTGCAGCTTGGTTGAAACCCGCTCCCCCAAACTTTGCCTTGAATCCAACACAATCTATTAGGGTATGAGCATTCTAATGTCCAGTAGAGTACCGTTAAACCCCTCAAGGTCAACTATCACAATTAATCAAAGTGGCATGCATCAAACAATACAAGATACATAATTTATGCATCCAGACTAGATGAACAAATTTGCATATGCAGTGATGCCATGAACTCACTCCCTTCTAGTCCCACTAATTCATATTTTAGGGCAACAAGTCTGCATGTCTCATACCATGCATTTTACCACTGTGGCTTCGAATACCTTAAAATATGAACTAATGCTCATCTGTTCATTAACCCATTTTTATTTTGTTTACAAATTTCTCAACTTTCACTTTGAATTAGAAGCTCTGCTCCCATCACCTCAATATATTCAATTTTTTTTTCTCAGATATATCTAAGGCATTCTCCCACCCCTTAGATATACCTCAAACGACACATACACCCCAAACACCACTATATTTATGATGCATATGTAATGCAATGCAAATATCATTTACCTCTGATGAATAATAATACAAATAATAACAATAATATTTCAGATTTAATCCCATGAATACTCAATGTCGAACAATATCCACGAAGAAACATCAATAATATAATAATATTCACATAACATCAAATAATATTCACCGAGCAAAGCAACAATAATATTCATATTTATAGTACTATGTGTAAGCACCAAGATTAAAAGTGATATAATCTAATTATTGGGGAATTAGGAAACCCTACCTCATGTTCGACTAGTTAGATTACCCAATTACCCTTCCAATCCTTCAGTTTCCACTTGAGCCTAAATCAAACAATAAGGACAAATAATAATTAGTGCTTTTGCTTAACATAATTTTTGGTCAAAAAGTTACGGGTCTCAGATGGTCTTGAAACTAATGTTAACGGATTTAAAACGAAAAACCAAGTTGGGGAGGATGACGAACGACACCAACCTCGCACCACATGTGCTAAACACACATAAGCGACTGCATGGTACTATTCATCGTCTTCCCCAAAAGACCATTTTTCCCTTTGTTTTCCACTTCGGTTTTGGCGTAACTAACAATAGTAAAACTTTGCAAAACTATACTCAAATTGAAGCTTGTAACCTTAGCTTTCTATACATATAAATATTGGTGAAAACGGAGCGACGGTTAATGAGAAATTCGAACCCTAAGACAGACCCAAAAATCTGAATTTTCGTTTTCCAGCTTCTTCTATTTTGGCAGTTTTGAAAACCTAACTTCACTCCAATATTTGATCCCCCAAAACTTAACCAAAATCACTGAAATCAAAAGGGTTTTGACCCTTGCTATTCCTAGTTTCCAAAATATCACAACCTTCTAAAAATTACTTCACAGATCAAAGGAAGATGAGAGCCAAAGCAAGGCCCATGAACTGAAATTTCTAGAAAAATACAAAGTTTCAGAATTTTCTCAGAAGTTTCTTTCAACACATCTCAAATACCATCCTTAAGGCTCAAAATCGTACTCCAACATCATATCCTTGGCATAAACTTCCCAAAAACAAGATTTGGATCTAAAGTTTGAACACCCAAACCCAAAAATTTATCAACACGCCAAAATCCGGAAATCTTGATTTCAAAATTCTTTTTTTGATTTTCTTATGCCTTAAAAGGTTCATAGATCATTCTCCAACTCAAATACAACTATAAATCTACTCAAACAATTAATTATACAAAAACTCAAGAATTGAAAATGAACTTAGAACAAGAATCCCACTTTTCATCGTTCCAATGGCTTCAACACTTAACCTTTTTTTTTTCTACCTCTCACATTTCTTTCTTAAGTCTCTCATGGATATAATAGTAATGACCTCCATCTCCCTTATTTCCAAGTCTTCTCCTCTCTTCTTCTTCTTATTCTTCTCTCTCTCTCTCTCTCTCTCTCTCTCTCTCTCTCTCAATTATCTTCTCCCTCCCGTTAACAACTCACCTCCCTTAGCTCTAAAAAAAATTCAGCTTCATTAAGGAAGATACCTTAGGCTAGGTGAGTCATAACTTTAGGCTAGGTGAGTCATAACTTTAGGCTAGGTGACTTATCACTTTAGACTATGTGACTCACTACTTTAGATTCGGTGACTCGTCCTTTTATAATGGTGGATTGAAAGCTTGAGGCAAGAAAGGGGGGGAATGGGAGAAGGGTGGCTTGATGCCCTCCCCGTTTCATAATTTTATTATTTTTTGCCTATAAGGGTATTTTGGTAATCTTTCACACATAGGGGTATTTTGGTCATTTTTGTCCAACTTGAAATTAAACACACTTAATTTAATAATCTAAATCCAAAATCACTTGATAAAATACCCACAATCATTCTCCACAATAATATTATTTTTCACTGAAATATGAAAATCCACTTTAAATTTTTTGGGGTATTTCACAAAATTTCCGGGTGGGAAAAAAATATTTAAAAATCCAAATTTTCTCTTCAAAGATAAACTAACAAAATAATATTCATTATAATATATATATATATATAATAAAATAAAAACCTAGCAATCCCCACCCTCCACCACCCCTACCCTCACCCTCACCCCCAAACGCAGCAACACAATCCCGACAGCCAACTCATACACCATCTTTCTCCCTTGTAAATGTCCAAGAAATAGTGTATGAACTTGAAAAAATGCTTAATAATTTAAGGGGGTTTATGTAGTTAATCCTAATATTTAATGTCTTTGTGGTTTGTACCAACGGGCTCTAGCTTAGTGAAAAAATGACATTGACTTGTAAATCATTGATCAAGTTTTTACCCACATAGCACCTTGGTAGCGTGTGTGTAAGAAACCTCATCCTCATTGTAGTTTAGATTATTGCTCGTATTCAAAAAATATCTCAATGTTTTGTGGTATTGCACTCTTGTCGGTTAGGTAATTAACTTGTATAATGATTCTTTGTCACAGAATTCTACGATAACAATGCAAAGACTAACGTGGCTAGAGTAACCAGGATAGATTTCTGGAATTGTAACGTCAATAATGCAATTCGTGAAAAGTTTGGACAATATAAGCTTGGCATTCCGTGTCCTCCAACAAATGTTTAGTCTGATGCCGTCTGGGAGGCCTATGGACGCAGTGGATACTAGTGCTGATGTGTCTTTCTTTTTCCCCTCCTAGTTTGTCTATTGTATTGCATTTTGGTTTTGTTGTCCCCCATGTGGCTTGGACTTCCTTGTTTGTTGCTTTGTATTTTTTCTGGGTTTGGCTTCTTGGCTGCTCCCATCTGGAATGAAAGCATTGTTACTGACCCCAACAAAAACAAAAAAACAAAAAAAGCTTCAAATTATACGATTTGGAATGTTTTATTTTACTAACACTTTCAAAGAGTGTTGTGATGAAGGACAAAAATTAGTTGTTTGTGTCAAAAGTATAGTAACTCCCTATATCGAAATTCCCCTATTGATACTTGTGAGGGTCACTGACCTAAAAAAATGTGATTTGACATGTTTTTCTTTACTGCCACAATGAAGTACATGTTCTTATAGTGGTGTCCTGTGCAACAACACACACTCACTCATTCTAAGGGTTTTCTCTCTCCCCCTTTCGAAGTGAGAGCAAGGGTACCTGGTGGCTGCTATGCTTGTGTCTTTCTCTTGTGTTTCTTCACAAGATCTGTTATTCTCTTATGTTTTCACAAGATTTGATCCTAGTTTTTTTGACTAGGGACAACCGAAAGTGCAGAATCAGTCTTGCTCCTCCACGGTGAAAACTCAAAACTTCAGAAATTGGAGCAATTTCAAATGGAGGAAGTCCAAACAAGTTTTGACAAAATCCTGACTTTGACAGCAGAGAAAGCTAATCCGTTGGTGATTGAAGAGGAAGATGATGTTGTAGCTCAAGATATCCTTGAGAGAAGTTTAGTGGCAAAGATCTACTCACCAAAACCAGTTCACAAGAAGTCTTTTAAGCATAGAATGTTGGAGATTTGGGATCCAGTGGGTGAAGTCAATATTAAAGACCTCCCAGGTAACCATTTCTTATTTATTTTTGGATGTAGGGAGGATAAACAAAAGGTTTTAAAGTTTGCTCATTGGAAATTTGATAAAAAGCTTGTTGTGTTAGAGGAGCCTGATGGTACTGTGGCACCCTCTAAGATGAATTTAAAATTTTCTGATTTCTGGGTTCAAATCCGGAATGTTCCCCTCTTAAAAATGACTGAGAAGCTTGCTAGGTCAATTGGAGATAGAACTGGTACATGGATAGACATTTCTCGATGTGAAGGGGGTGAGCTAGTGGGAGGCTTTATGAGGATCAGAGTTCGAATAGATATTACTAAACCTCTATGAAGGGGACTGAGGATAACCTTCCCTGGGGGTAGTACTGATCTAGTTGAATTTTTTTATGAAAAACTACCCAAATTCTGTTTTGGATGTGGAAGAATTGGGCATATACTCCAGGACTGCAATCATGTTCCAGAGCTAAAGATCAGCCATACAGAAGATTTCTTACCCCAAGAGGCTATGGTCAGGCCCAATCATATAGCCTGTCTTATGATTCCAGTTCAGAGGAGGAGGAAGAAAATAGAGGAAATAAAAAGTCTTGATGATGGAAAACAGAAAAACGTCTCACGAGAGTTTTCAAATGCTGTCAGCTCTCCAACAAAGAAAAAATAGACGGATAGTCTTGAAGTCAGTAACAAGATTCAAGCTGCTTCTTCACAATCACAGTCATTGAATGCAAGAAGATTACAGATGAAAGAATTGTCCAGAGAAGGTTCCAAAGGAAAATAAATGGGACACTCGACTTCAAATTCATTGAGTTCTCAACGAATTTCTAGAGGGTCAGAACAAAGGGATGAAAATTGGAAAAGCAAGGAGAAAAATTAAAAAATTACTCTGACAGAGACAAAGAAGATTAGTGAGGGGGGCTGCTCAACCTCCTCTGTTTCCACAAGAAGTGTTGAACCCAATTGTCAAGGGGGAATGAAAGATCAAGAGATTTGTGCCATATCCCACTCTGAAACTGATAAAGCTTTATTTGGTGATTTTGATGTGGTAATTCAGTCAGGGATTGGTCTTGCTTCACAGATAGGCAATCTAGTTGGCAAAGAGCCAAAGGGTGTGCAGACCAAAACAGGGTTCAAATTGGTGAGAAAATGAGTGGGGAACTAGTTATGGAAGGGGAAGCTTCAAAGCACAAGAAAGTTGATGAGGGTAAAAACAATGAGATTACCCTGTATGAATCTGTGGTGTGCCCGGAGATGATGGCCCACCATGAGAAATGAATATCTTAAGTTGGAATGTCCAAGGTTTGGGGAATTGTCGGACATTTAGATCTCTCAATGATTTGTTGAGAGAGCAAAATCCCCAGTTAATTTTCCTTATAGAGACTAAGTGTACTAGTGTGCAGTTGAAAGAAAATGTGTTAAAATGGGGAAATTATAAGTTATTTTAATGTAGAAAGAATTCAAAAGGGCGGGGGTCTTGCAATGTTGTGGAGGAAAGAAGTACAAGTGAGTGTGTTGTTTGCATCGGCTAGTGACATAGACTGCTGGGTGAATAATCATATCATACAACCATTCAGAGTGACTGGATTTTATGGCAACCCTGAAACATCCTTAAGAATTTTGTATTGGGAATTGCTAAGAAGATTGGCAAGTTCTTGTACAAGCCCTTGGGTTTGCTTGGGTGATTTTAATGAGCTGCTATCGGAAAGAGATTTAAAGGGGTTAGAAGGAGACCAATGTACCAAATGGAAAATTTCCAAAAGTCTCTAGAGGATTGCAGCCTGAGTGATATCGGTTTTGAAGGTTTTCCTTTCACTTGGTGTCGGAAAAATGGTAATGGGAATGTTCTTTGGGAAATACTTGATTGAGTAGTTGCAAATACAGAGTTCGGGCTCCTGTGGCACCAAATAAAGGTTCATCACCTGAACAGTACTGTTTCTGATCACATGCCAATCCTTTTAACTCTTATTTCCCAAAAGAGTAATGATGATGTTAGTTCAGCAAAGAAACGCATATTTTATTTTGAAAAGTTGTGGTTGAAAGAAGAGGGATTTGAAGATGTTGTGAGGATTGCCTAGGAACATAGTGGAGATGATCGCATTTCCGTGAAAGAAAAGATCAAAAGGTGTGGTTTTTCTTTTTAAAAAATGGGAAAAAATGTCTTTAAGAGTGTCAGGACCCAATTAAAGGAGTGCAAAGAAGAGCTGGAATTACTGCAATGTATTAACCCTTCGAAACAACAAAGTCAGAGGAATGAGTTTCTTGAAAGGAAGATTGATGATCTGCTGGAAAAACAAGAAGTTATGTGGCTACAGCGGTCAAGGGTGGAGTGACTGAAAGAATGGGATAAAAATATGAGTTATTTCCATGAAAAGGAAAAGGAGAGGACAAAGACTAATTTCATAGTAGGGGTGTATAATTCGAGGGGGGAAATGGTGTACGGATAAGAGACTGGTAACAAAAAATTTCAGTAGTTATTTTTAATCTCTCTTTGAAAAAATAGGAGATCATAATATGAAGGTGATCATTGACAAGGTTAGTCCAAAAGTGCCTGATCAAATGAAGAATTTTCTTATTAAGCCTTACAACAAAAATAAGGTTGAGTTTGCTTTGAAGCAAATGCCTCATTCAAAGGCTCCTGGAATTGATGGAATGCCTGCTGTTTTTTTTTCAGAAATATTGGCACATTCTTGGGGACGAAGTTGTTGAGGTATGTCTAAAAATTCTTAATGGCCAGGAAAGTGTGAGAAGCCTGAACAAGACTTCGATAGCTCTCATCCGTAAAGTTGAAAAACCGGAATTTGTGACTCAATACAAGCCAATATCTCTTTGCAATGTGATTTATAAAATTATTTCTAAGGTCATAGCTAACAGATTAAAGTGTGTGCTCCCAATGATTATATCTAAAAGCCAAAGTGCTTTTGTTCCAAAGAGGCAAATTTCAAATAACATCATTCTAGCTTTTGAAACAATCCATGCCATGAAATGTAGAAGGGGGAAAAAAGTTCCAAGGTTTGCTTTGAAGCTAGACATGGCAAAAGCGTATGATAGAGTTGAGTGGAATTTCATTTGTAAAATGATGGAGAAATTAGGTTTCTCTTATGTGTTTATTAAGCTGGTATTTGAGTGTATATCTACTGTTTTATATTCTTTGATAAGGTATGGAGCTATTGAAGGTAATATTATCCCATAAAGAGGGATTAGACAAGGAGATCCCTTATCTCCCTATCTTTTCCTCAATTGTGCAAAGGGTTTTTCTACGCTTCTTAAACAGGCAAAGTTTTCTGGTGAGATAAAAGGGATTGAAGTTGCAAGGAGGGCCCCTCCAATTTCTCATTTGTTTTTTTGCAAACAACAGCTTACACTTTCTTGAAGCAACACCACATGCCTATAGAACCCTAAAGAGGGTCTTAGAGATTTCTGAGATGGCAGCAGGGCAAAAAATAAATTTGGCTAAGTCTGCAATTGCTTTCAATCCAAACACTCCTGTGCAATTAAGGAATGAGGTGAGTAGCATTTTAGCGATCCCAATTGTTGAGTTTCATGAGAAATATTTGGGATTGCCAACTGTGATTGGTAGGAAAAAGAAAGATTGTTTTAATGGAATAAAAGAAAGATTGAGAAAGAAGCTTAATGGATGGAAAGAGAAATTACTTTCAAAAGCAGGAAAAGCTCTCCTTATCAAAGCAGTGGCTCAGAGCATTCCAAATTATGCTATGGGAGTCTTTAAACTTCCTGTAACATTCTGCGCAGACTTAAACTCAATGATTTCTAAATTCTTGTGGAATAACTCATAGTGTAGCAAAGGTATTAGTTGGGCAAAGTGGGTGCATTTGTGTTTTGCAAAGGATGAAGGTGGAATGGGGTTTAGAGATCTGGAGTCTTTTAACAAAGCACTTGTGGCCATGCAATGTTGGAGACTTCTTACCAATGAACATACCATGATTCATAAGGTGTTAAAAGCTCGATACTTTCCAAATTGTAATTTTTTGGAAGCTGGTAAAGGAAAAGCTTTTTCATATGTTTGGAGGTCTTTGATTTGAGGTTGTGAGTTGCTCTTGAGTGGGTTAAGGAAGAGGATTGGAGATGGACAAGAAACACTAGTCTATGGTGATGCTTGGATTCCTAGACCTAACTCTTTCCATCCTATTTCCCCTAAAGTGTTGAATCAAGAAACTAAAGTAAGTGATTTTATTTTTCCTATTGGGACTTGGAATGTTGATTAACTACATTTGTGTTTTCATGAGGAAGATGTTAAGGCTATTACCTCTATCCCTTTGAGTGTTAATTATCACAAAGATAGATGGATTTGGCATTATACTACTAATGGAATTTATTCTGTGAAAAGTGGATATAGGCTGGAGATGTCAAAGAAAAAGAAATGCAGTGAGGCTATTGGATCCTCTTCGAAACCAAGAATACGAAGTGCTTTCTGGAGAAAAGTTTGGTCCCAAGAGGTACCATAAAAACTCTTATATTTTAATTGGAGAGCTATTAAAAATTATCTTCCTTGTATATCTAATCTGCTTTCAAAGAAAAATAATTTCTGATGACTCCTGCCCCATTTGTAATGTGAATTCTGAGAGTGTAATTCATGCTTTGTGGAGTTGTCCTAATGCCCAAAAGTTTGGAAAAAAGTGCTGCTCAGGGAGGTTTTTACAAGGCTACACTTTTCCAACTATGGGGATTTGTTTGAAATTGCCACTACATATCTTTTGAAGTATGAAATGTGCTTGTTTTTATATATATTCTAGAATTTATGTCAAAACAGAAATAAAGTTGTTATATAAGGTCGTTCTTGTGCACAAGAAGTGATCTTCAACAGAGCTCATTCCTTGGCTGATGAATATGGAAGTCTTGTGAAAGGGGAACCTAAATTAATTGTAGAGAAACCAACCAAATGGTCTCCTCCTCCTGTTGGTAAATATAAACTGAATGTTTATGCTGCTTTTATTCCCGAAACAGGAGTGGGTGGAATTGGTGATGTTGTTAGAAATGACAAAGGGGAAGTGATGGCGGCTATGGCCCTTCCTCTTGCCACTGCCACCTCACCTAACCATGCATAGATCATGGCGCTTCATTTCGGGATGAAATTTGCTTGGGATGCTGGCTTTTCTTCTATTCTAATTGAGTCTGATTCACAAGGGGTGGTAAATTATGTAAAGAAGGATGAGGAAGAGTCGTGGGCATCAGATGGGCATCTTATTAGTGATATTAAGAGGAGTCTGCAACACTTTGAAGATGTTACTATCTCTTTTAGTCCAAGAGGGTGCAACCAAGTAGCTCATTTTCTAGCAAGGCATGCACTTAATTGTAATACTATGGTAACTTGGATTGAAGAGGTTCCCTTCTGGCTGAAATCAATTGTAAAAGATGACATTGTTGTATCCTCTTAATTGTTATCAATGAGTTCTTCTTTCGCCCAAACAAAAAAAAAGTACATGTTCTTATATTGAGGAAAAAGATAAAATAATATTATTGGCATGTTTTGCAAATTTATTAGCAGTTGTCAAAATGATGCTACTTCCATACACTTTCAAGGTGGCATTAATAGCATTAAGTGCTTTGTTTAAATGCCCTATGCCACATCATTATAAACATGATATCAAAATGTGAACAAATCTTTGGTGCATTGGCAATTTTTTTTTTCCAAAGTGACTCATTTCATTAAAAATGAAAGGCATTATAATTTATAAAGATAGAAAGTAAGCCTGTAAAATGGTCCAGGTTGGGGGGGTTAGCTCATACCCTACTTAGAGCGATTCCAGCAGTCTACCCTTTGTCCGGGCAAGGGGGGCCTACCCTTTGTCTGGGCAAGGGGGGCCTAGGCCCAAAAAGGGTTTCCAGCGAACAAATGCTGCCAGGGCTGTTGGTGGGCTCCACAAGCCTGGGCTGACCCAAAGGCAAGAACAGCCTGAGTTGTTGCTTGGGTTTGCTAACATTATCAATAAAAAAAATTTAAAAAAATCTATAAAAATACATAAAAATTTCAGAATTGTTTTAAAATAAATACTTAGTCATATTATTTACTTCTCACATCAAAACTCTATACAAATTCATCTCCTCATATCTTATGTGAATAGTAGTTGTCATGACAATGGGTGGAAACACCACAAACCTTTTGCAAGGGCTGTTACTATTCATGTAAATAGTAACAGTCATTGCCTTACCCTTACCCTTTGCCATGGCAAATGAGTGGAAGTGCTCTTAGGCACGAGTTTTTTTGGCTCTATGGGTTAAATTGGTCGAACCAGCCCTATCTTAGAGCATCTCCACCCACAAGGGCTAAGTCTAAAACAAGGGCAAGCAAGGCCTGCCACTATTCACATGAATAGTATCAGCCTTTGCATTTGTGGTTCCACCCATGAAGGCAAGTCTAAGGCAATTACTATTCATTGTACTTTATTTCCTATTTTTTTATACTTTCAACCATTAATTTTGATAATCTTTTGTAATTAAATTTTCGGATAAGATTTTCACCCTCTAAAATTGTGCCACGTGTCCTATGTCAGATATGATTTTCAGATATTGAAAAAAAAATTATAATATCAGATTTCAGATAAAATTTTCACCCTCTAAAATTGTGCCACGTGTCCAATGTCAGATAAGATTTTCATATATTTTTAAAAAATTATAATCTCATATTTCAGATAAGATTTTCACCCTCTACAATTGTGCCACGTGTCAAATGTCAGATAAGATTTTCAGATATTTTAAAAAAATTATAATCTCATATTTTAGATAAGATTTTCATCCTCTAAAATTGTGCCACATGTCATCTCTATCTTCTAAATCCCTCTATAAAACTACACCATCAACTCATACCTCTCACACCATCTCTTATCTATTCCTTCATTTCTCAGATTTTAGAAAACACATTTTACTCTCAATGTCAAACTTGTCGAGGGTGTTAGAGAGGCAACAGAAACAAAGGGAAGAAATCCGGCGTAGACGTGCTCAAGAAGATCGGGATGCCGATGAAGAAGAGGAACAACTGCTTGCAGCAGCGGTGTGTATGATGGATCAATCAAGGCAACACCGTCGTCGTCGTGCCCCAAATGTGGACAGACGTAGGGAGTCTCGGGGTAAGAATCTCATGGAGGATTATTTTATCCCAAATTCGTTATATCCTGCTTCTAAGTTTCGAGAAAGATATAGAATGCAGCCACATTTGTTCCAAAAAATCATGCATGATATTTGTAATTACAACACATACTTCATTCAAAAGCATGATGCTGTTGGAGCTTTGGGTATTATCCTGGAGCAAAAACTTACAGCTGCTTTGCGGATGCTTGCTTATAGGGCATCTGCAGAGCAGGTGGATGAGATTGCAAGGATGGGAAAATCTACTGTCCTAGAGTGCTTGGTGAGATTCTGTGATGCAATGGAAAATTTGTACACGATGGAGTACCTTCGCAAACCCACGCCAAGAGACCTGCAACGGCTTCTACAAAAAGGCGAGGCTCGAGGTTTTCCAAGAATGATTGGAAGCATCGATTGCATGCACTGGCAGTGGAAGAACTGTCCTACTGCTTGGCAAAGGGAGTACGGGAATCGGAAGGGCCAAAAAAGTATAATTTTGGAGGCCGTAGCTTCATTCGATTGTTGGGTTTGGCATGCCTTCTTCGGGGTTGCCGGATCTCAGAATGACCTCAATGTCCTTGGTCAATCCCCAGTGTTCGACGAGGTATTGCGAGGTCATTCCCCCCAGGTCACGTACCAAATCAACAATACCGTTTACTCTGGTGCGTACTACCTTGCCGACGGAATTTATCCTAGGTGGACGACATTCGTGAAAACAATTCCGAATCCCCAATCCGAGAAGGAAAGAAACTTTGCTTCCTTTCAAGAAGGTTACAGGAAAGACGTGGAGAGGTGTTTCGGTATCTTGCAAGCTCGTTGGGCAATTATTAGAGGTGTTGCTCGGATGCTAGATGAGGAGGTGTTGCGGAGTATTATGATGACTTGCATCATCCTCCACAACATGATTGTGGAGGATGAGTATGACTATGATGCTCAAGAGGTGTTTGAACCCGATCCAATGAACACATCGTTGACAAGAATATATGAAAGGCCGATTGGACCAAATGGACTACCACTGGAGCCCGAACCCTTACTTCGGGATGGTCAATTCAACAACCCCATGATTGATCGGTATCAAGAAATGCAATCTTCATATGTTCACGAGATACGTCAAGGTGACTTGGTCGAGCACTTGTGGGAGATGAAAGGCAATCACAATGGATGAAGTCAAGATTAGTGCTTTGTTTGGAATTATGCTTTGTTTTTAATTATGCTTTATTTTGTGTGTGGTTTTTTTTGGAATTATGCTTTTTATTATTATTATGCTTTTATGTATGGTTTGTTTTGTGTGTTGTTTGCAATAAATGAAGGTTTTTTTTAATTAATATTTGTTTTGATGCTCAAATGTTTTTAATAAATAGTCATTTTATTTAATGCTTTTTTTATTGAATAAAAAGGAAACAATACAACAAATTAAAGGATAATACAACAATACAACATATGGCAAAGGTGTTTCAATACAACCTAATGGTTTTCATCATTTAACCAATCCGTATTGCTAGGTCCGTCGTCATGGAAAAGTTTTCTTCTCATCACATCTCTTCGTCGTAGCTTCCAATAGGCCTTTGTTTCGGGAGACATATGGCTCGTATCCATGCCCATGATTTTCATCTCTCTATCCTCTATGTCTTTTTCTTGTGCCATTTGTTGTTGCATAACAAATGCTTCTTCTCGTGCCACGTCCATTTCATCTCTTTTCAAGTCTCTCTCCATTCTTAGTGAGGTGCTCTTAGCTATTTGCTCCAATAATTGTACACATTCATTGGTCGAAGTGCCCCTCTCTTGGCCTTTGCCGCCTTTCTCCCAATAGGTCTCGGCGGACGTGGCACAAATGGTGACTCCGTTTCCATTGGGGAGTCCAATGGAGAATCGGTTGATGTCGAATCGTGGAGTGGCGTCTCATTCATCACAACCGGCGGACCGGTGGGAATAATTTTGAATCTCGAACAATCCTTCACAATTTCCCAACAATGGAAATGCACGAAACTTTTTTTGCCTTGCCCCATGGCACCGAACCACATTTGTGCTTGTATCATCTATTAAAAATAAATAATTGGAAGTGCAAGAAACAAAAATTATTATGCAAGAAAATATAAACTATTTTGAAATGCAAAAATAAAATTGATTATGCAAGAAAATATAGACAAATTAAAGGTGCACCAAGAAAAAAAAATTATGCAAGAAAAACAAATAGAATATGCAATAAAAAAAAAGTGACATTGAATTGATTAAAATGGCAATTATAAATATTTTACCTCATCGGTCAAATTTTGACCGCTTTGAATGTTCGCCTTTGCTTTTGTCAAGGCATTTCTCCATTTCCCTAACTCTTTATTCAGAAGTTTCCATCTACTAGACAAGGCCATTTCGGTCCGAATAGAACCCGATCTTTGACAAAATTCTCCATGAATTTTGCTCCACATGTGATGAAACTTCATCTCATTGCCCGTGATAGGGTCATGACTAATGTTCACCCAAGATTGACACAACGCAATATCTTCATTCGTTGACCACGAGCCTCCGATTTCAATAGAAGATGCCATTCGTTTTTTTTATACAAATGGAAAGTAGTAGAAAAATGTGAGTGGAGAGTAAAAAATATTGGAAGGAGAAGAGTTTGTATGGAGAATTGGTGTGGAAGTGAAAAATGTGAGTGGAGATAAAAAAATATTGGAAGGAGAAAAGTTTGTATGAAGAATTGGTGTGGAAAGTGAATAATGTGAGTAAAGAGTAAAAAATATTGGATGGAGAAGAAATTGTATGAAGATTTAGTGTGGAAAGTAAATAAAATGGTTAGGTATTTATAGAGAAAAAATACAAAATTTTTGGGTATTTTTAAAAAAAAATTTCAGAATTTTTTCGATTTTTTTTGCAATTTTTTTTAGCCAAAAAAATGAGGACCATCGGATTTCTGGAAAAAAAGCCATCCGAGAGTCCCCGTCACGCCACGTGGCAAACGCCCGTTGGAGGCTGTTAGGTGGTGACGTCAGCGCTGGCGTCACGCTGACGTCAGCGTGACGCCAGCGCTGACGTCACCAAACTCGGGCTTCAGCCCGGGCAAGACTTGCCCTTGGGCTTCCTCGGGCTCGTGGGACCCACCATGAAACCGGGCTACGGGCCCTGCGCTGGAGCAATCTCGGGCTCTCTCTGGCAGCCTTTCACCCAGTTTGGGTTGGGCGCTGGAGATGCTCTTAAATAGACTAAACCATGCCTTACAAAAGAGCCAAAAAAATATCGAGCTCACAGGGGGTCCCATATGGCATATCAAATAGGCCACATATAATTAATTAAATATAATTATACTTAATTAAATACAATGATCATTAATACTATCTTACTTTTATAAGAATATTAAATGCAATAATAATTCATGTTAATAGTAAATGGGTCATTATATTCGTTCAAATATTTTAATTAAATATAAGTATAATTAATATTAATTTAGTATATTTATAAAAATATTATTTATTAACTTAAATATCGGGCGGCCCACAGGCCTAGAAATCATGGTGCAAGCCCTTCCCTTTAAATAGCTATTGTTAATGTGAATTTTTGTTTTAACTTCACCAACTTTTCATTTCCTTACTTATTGTCAATGTGAATTTCGTTTCTCAGTTCTCCAATCTCTTGCATATCCAGCAATAGAATCATGAAATTCCCAAATTTTGTGGATTCCGATTTTAGAAATTCTTGCTATTCTATTCTATTGTCTTCAATATATGAATTTCTTGCATGTGTTTCTTTTCGAGAACCCTAAAATAGACTAACCATGGGACCCACATGCTAATAAAAAAATTACATCAATTAATGCATTATGTTGTTAAGAACATCAATAATAGTTGTTCAATAGTTGAATGCAATAGAAATAAATACATCGATTATTTTTTTTTTCAAATATATTCAAAATTGGTCTTTGTTTAAAGATCTTTTCGAGAATATTGCAATGGTACAATTTTTAGTGTTATTAAATTTATCACTTTTATTTTATTTGAGTACGTAAAAAACGTGTAAGTAGATATAATTATTGATATAAAACTATTGAATTGTACCATTGCAAGTAAAATTGCAGTTCAATTCAATATATGCTAAAATATATCAATTTATTTAACTATTACAGTGACCTATTGAACAACCAATATGGATGCTCTAACTTATTGGCATAGTACAAAACCTCGGCCCAATAGAAATCAAAACAGACCCATTTACAAACATTCAGGCCAATACAAAACAAAGAGAAACTAAATCCGAGAACAAGCTACCGCCACACCAGTCCCTTCCCACGTGCCGCACCACCATCTTAAGTCAACAACTACTAGAGAAGGGTAACCAGTAACTAAACATACCAAAGCTTTGAATGAAGAATAGTGGTTGGCAAACCACCCGAGCAAAAAGCGCTACTAATCCAAGTTTATTGTTATAATTTAGTCCAAGAATACCATTGTTAGTTAAGTTCTTAAATAAATTCCAATTGATTCTCTAAAATTAGGCCTAAAGAGAGTTAGTCCATATTAAAGTCTTTTAAAATTAAAAGCAAATTACTACTAATTTAGTAATTCTTTTTTCTCGTAATATTGAAAGAGGTTCTAACACACAAATTGATAAAGAGGGAGAGACGGTGGAGTGATTTTATCTGTCGATCTGAATGATTGAGGTATTGTGCGCCCAATTCAGAGGCAAATTGTTTAAGAATATTCAATTATGCATGCAAATATGCCCTCAAAATTATATATATAAAAGTAAGAAGCAGCATTTCAAACTCTCACTTAAAAAAATCCTTTCTTCGAATTCTTAGATCTTCAAATCATTGCACGCATCCATTCCCTTCGAAATTTCAACTAGAAAAGCAAAGGGCATCTGGCCATGATTGCGGTTTGACCATAAAATAATATATTCCCCATAATCTAAATGCCATAAATAAAATATCATCTACGTTGACATAAAGGTTGCCCTACAATTGTGTGATTAGATAACCAAAGCAAAACAAAAAAAAAGTGTCAAATTCTCCAACTTTGAGTCTTGGAGGCTTTGAGTGGGTGCGAGAAGAAAATAATTGTATTTGTACGTATTCACCATGAATACATATTCAGTCAACTTATGTTGGCCAGTTGATAAGCGTGGAATATGCTTGGATGCCCAAACCACTCGGAAGCAAATAACTTGGGATGGAGAAGTTTGACCTTTCTTTGTCCTTTTTTAGTTTATTGTCAATTTTCAGCCGTTTCTTTAGTGGCTAAGAGAGATTGTGGTATATGATTCATTGCTTCTTTAGAGGGAAATCTTAACCCCCAAGTCATTGCTCCCCAACCCCACACCCTCAATTCCCCTAGTCCAATACAAAGACTTGCCTCCACTACTTTCTAAAATTCATGCTGTTTTCATTATTAATGTGTCAAATTCGACAAGAACTGAGTTAGGATCCTCTGCTTTTCTTTTCATGTAGGGTGAACTTTGTTATTTTCATGTGGGGTGGGGTGGATATAGTTATTGTTTTAAATCAACTAAGGTCACTAATATATATTACTTACAATTACGGATACTTCGCTATTCTGTGTTGTATATTTTGCTTATGCAAATAAAACTATGTCATACTAGAGGTCTTATGTTTGAATCCCCACAACATCATAGTTTGTGTGTGTGAGAAATCTCTCTATCTTGCAGTTTAGACTATCGCTTGTACTAAATAAAAAATAAAAAACTATGTCAAATTAATTAAACCTAACTTCACCTTTGGAACATGTAAAGAGAGTTCATTTTTGTCGTCTACATAAAAAGGAAGTCCCCCTCAAGTTTTTCTCTACTTATAGGGAGGACTCAAACCTAAAGAGAGGTGGTCAGATCAAAGTGGTCATTTCGTTGATCCTTGTCAAATCCAAATTCCACCCCTTGATATGGGGCAATCAATTCTTACATGAATCACCCTTGATCTAATATTGTTGATTCCTTCCCTTAAGCACTTCCGAACTCCGTACCGGTGCCTCTGATTTGCACACCAAGCCTTCTTTGGACCACGATTCCGGCCCTTGCTAGCCTAATTGCGTTTGTGTTCTTCAAGTTGTACAAGCCTCGAGACATTGGGGCTATGAACAGATGGGCCCATGAACATATAGCCATTCCCAATTTGGGATGAGTTCGGGCAGCCCTAAATCGACGGCGAAATTGGGAAAATTTTCTAGGATTTTAATCATTTGTAAGAGAAAGGAAAAAAAGAACAACATTCACATGAAAACTAATAGCAAAAAAAACATGGAAAGTATACTTACTACAAGAGGACAACCTTCAAAGGTAAAGTCATCGATTGAGACTCTAGGGTTGAAAATCAAATATCATACTTGCGGGATAAAAAATATTCATTAGGCAACTCTACATCAATATGTGTCCATAATTACGATAAAAGATATGACCACTCAACTTTACACGTCCGCATGTCACACAATATTATTTCTAATTGTCCCAAATATAGAGTTGGATAAAGTCTATGAGAACTCATTAGGCTGAGTTTTATCTCAAAAAAATTTGGTGAAATTTAAATGAATCGTTTAACATAGGCTATTTTAGAAACCTACTTTTCTGACGTAGGAAAATTGTGTTTGATTTATAATCACTAACATCCTGATACTAACAAAAGCCTTTCTTGTATTGTAACCCGATCACTGTCAATTCATGTACCTGTAATCCACTTTAGTCGATTCCCATGTGAACTAGGGCTTGGGGGGGTTTCAATTTAGACATGCAATTTGCAAATACCACTTGATATGCTCTACGGCTGGCTCGGCTACTTGAGTCTATTAAATCCACTCAGACTATGATTGCATATCAACCAGCCACATGGCCAGCATTTAGCAAACCCCACTTTCTCTTAGTGATATAGCATTGCATTATAGGACACCTTTTATAATCAGTCACATTTTTATTTAATGAACTTGCATGCAATAATGTTAATGGGTCTAATCCAGTGAAAAATGGCATTCACTTACAGACTAGTGATCTCGTATTCGAATTTCTATGACACTATAATAGTGTGTGTTGTGTGTGAGAAAACACCCTCTTCTCCGAAGAAAACATGTACTTGAATCATTTTTTATAGATTATAAGCAACAACATACATTGAATCATAAATTCAAGAAGCGGATAATGTTTCATATATTGGAATTGGATCGATGCCATGCCATGCTGATGGTCAATTGAGCATGTCCTGCCACTCACATACACAAATAAAGCAAAGCAAAGCATATGGGTGCTCCTCCACCAACAACCACCACCCATAATGACACTCCTTTTTCTAATTGTGTAGGAACCCTATATTTGTAGGACCCTATTGCCTTAACTTTATGCCCCAATATAGCCGGCAAATTAAATCCTTCCAACCGTTTTTGGCCCCTTAGGCCCCAACCACCTAGGCAACTTGGCTATGCCTCCCCACCCCTAAGAGTCCCTTGTGGGACCTCTTGTTAAACTATATTTTAGCTTAAGATTACTACACCTAATTAATTTCAATTTTGATGGACTTTTTGCCTATAGGAATTCAGGGATTAGACTACATTTAGAAGAAAATACTACTAAACTAAGAATTAATTTATTTTATTTTATTGGATTCTATTATTTATCTTATTGTTTTAAATCATCTAGGTTAATTCTTCAAGAGGTTCTACTAGAACCAATTGTACATATGTACAAGGAGACAAACACAATGGCTTGAAATCGTAAACTTGTATAATAACTCTATTTTTTGATATGTTAATGTTATGTTGTTAAACGATTAATATCACTCACAGTTACATAATAATTTATTTAACTAATAATTGAAACACAGTCAAATCAAACATGCTACCAAACCAATTGATAAAATTCCTTGTAATCATATAGGATATATAACCGAATCATCTCTCTCTCCCTCTCTCTCTCTCTCTCTATCTCTCTCTATGATTGAAAGAAAGGCAGTCACCGTAATGGGGGTGACATGGGTCTATGCTTTCACAACTTTTCAACGCATGCATGATGGCTATGTGGGAAAAGCCTCCCCCTACAAGTCTTGCAAAAGAGAGTTCAAGTGGGGCAAGCCAAAGCTTTTTGGCTTTTTTGCTTTATCAAAAGTCGGTGCGTTTGTTGATATATCCTCCTCTAGAAACTATAGATAAATACAATATTACAGAAAAGGCACCAAATAGATTCAAATCCCTCTCTCACATCAAAATTAAACATCATGCTCTATTTTATTAAGCGAAAGACCCACTTGAGCATTCTGCTTTTCTTGTCAAGGTAATATTCTTATTCATCTTGATTCGCTTTTTATGCCCCGCCAGACAAGCCATCTTTCTTTACCGCCATACTTTATATAGGAGGACAACAGGAGCATAGCTTCAACTTTTCAAATCCCTTTCTTATATAAACAAATACATGCACATACTATATCAACTATTCAAGATGTCCCGAAGGGGACATCTGATAAAATTAGAACGATACAGAGAAAATTAGCATGGCTCCTGTGCAAGGATAACACGCATAAATCGAGAAATTGTCCAAATTTTTTAAAAAGGGAAAAAAAAATTTATTCAATTTGCTAACAACTTGATTTTTTTTCTTCTTCTAGTTTTCTGTTTGTTGGAGTGTTAAAAGGTGAAGAGAACTTGCTGCACAAGCTAAGTGTAAATACAATTTTAAACTCTAAACAACTGATTTGACTGGGAATGTGAATATCATCCATTCTAACCCTAAAAGAATCCAATTTCAAATCCTCACACTTATGCTAAGAATAACACAGCCGAAGACTAATGAATTAGTGGGAATTCGAGGATCAAGGAACAAGATTGAAAAGTAGTCCTAAAACTTGGGGCATAATTTGTAGGTGTTATGATGTGTGAACAAAGAATATGTCATATAGTTGTCATATCTATATCTTTATTAAGAAAAATCATGTAATGGTGGAGAATCACTGTGGATACAGTTGCATATAATTTGTGTAGCTCATGTTCCTTAATTTCTTTGGGTCAATTTGCATTTTACCCCTTCAAATATATATACATCAAATTTCAAATTGTCCCGTAAAGTACAAAATGTGTCGCAACATCAACTGTAAAGTTGGTAATTTAAATGTTAACCCAAACCTAATTTTGTGCACATTTTTGTAAAGTATGATCAAGTTATTCCTAGGATCCAGATCCACTCTCTTCATTTGGTTGCATTTTTGTTCATGTTATGAATTCATCACTTAGTTTATTCACATAAAACCTTAAGATAGTAAAATTTTATAGACTTGTAGTTTCAGTATAGAAAGCATGATTTCAATCGCCAAGATTATCATCCTCCCTTTTTCCTTTTCTACCATAATAATTTATATAAAATAATACTCGAGTTTCATTTTCCTCCTCAAACTAAGTTGTAATATCTTATTACGTGGTGCTCTTAAATTCTTCTTAATAAATAGTACAATGATAATTAGTATACATGTATGTATGTATGTATATACACATGTGCAGTGTGGGAGCAGGAAGATACCTATAACCTTTTACCGTACGCACGCACACGCTGAGTCAGTCCTGAGCTGACACAGAAAAGGGCAACATGGTCGGCTGGCCTTTAAAGGGAGGAAGAAGAGACATCTCATCTCACAAACAAAAACAACCAAAAAAAAAGAGAAAAAAAACCTTATCCCAAATTCTCTCCCTCCATCATTGCCAACTTCTACGCTCCACAATCATCAACCTCCCCCCATGGAATCAAATGCTCTATCATACCAAATCATTGGTGGGGTCTCCCTGTCCAACTCCCTTATACCCTGCCACGTGTCTCCCTCTCCTCTCCACACGACCCATTTTATTTGATTTATAATTAATAGTAAGAAAAAATGTGAGAGGGAGGGCCGGATAAGGGTGGTGATGACACATGATCGACAACCACCACTAGTTTATTTGGTTTATTATGTCACTTCGCTTAGTGTAAGAATTAATTAATTAATTATCTTTTGTTTCTCACTAATTTAATTGATCAATTAAAATACAGTATAATTTTAAATAATTTTTTAATATGCCCAATCATGCGTTTAAAGTGAAAGCTGCAAGATACATACGTATATTTATATTATATTATTATTATTATTGGACACACCATGTATAAATTAATTTGATATTCTCCCATATGTCAAAGTCAATGCCTATCAATTTGGGATCCAAAAATGCTGGCTGCAAAAACTTTTTCATATTCATTCAGCCACTCGATCGATGACGAAAGCTTTGGCCTTCGGATAATCTTTTTCCAAAAAAACATATTTCCTTACGTTTTCTCAAGCACAATAATAATAATTATTATTATGATGATTATGAGAACGACCATGGTACTCAATATAGAGACTTCCTCGGTTAAAATAAATTATAATTAATTAATTAATTAATAAGAAATAAGGGAGATGTTGAAGCATACGTTAATTTATTTATGATTTATCTTAGAATCCAGTGCAATACGTTAATTTGATGTCAAAGACTTGTGATGACCTTAATGATTTTCTCAAACTTTATTAATTATTAGTTATTTATTAATATACTAGAATTCTTTAGTCTAGCTAGTTCTTGTACGTTCTTTGAACGTTTGGATAGCGGTTCAACTTTATATTCTATGACATATACCATTTTGGTTTTCTAGAACGACCCATATGTATGTAGTCAATTTTCTCCATTGTCAGAGTATAATTTTCAAGCCGTGTTTGATCTTCTGAGCAATTTGAAGGATTGAAAATTAATCTTGAAATACTTTTATAGTTGAACAAAATACTTCATGTGCTATATTATCTGATCAAATCACATCTCTCGAAATAATTCGACCTCTAATGATTCCAGTAATCTTAAAAGTTCATAATCTTTGGATCCCCTTTCTGAAAAGGGTTATATAAGGTGCATGCATATATACACCGTTGAATAGAAGCTGCATGGCAGCCCAAAACAAACTCATGTGACAAATGCAAGTGTTTAATAATTAATCCCCCTTAGTTCTTTTTTTAGGACTTTTTTTATTGAGAAAAACGATAATATACTAAGACTCAAACCCAGACTTCACTTAAGAAAACAATAGCTCCAAACCACTACACTAGTGGGACCTTTGCCCCTTGAATTATTGATTATTAAGAAAAGTACTACATGGATGCTATGACTCGAGAATTTTGCTTGAGGGAACAATTGCTCTAAATCACTACACTAGTAGTTACTTTGCCCCTTTAATTCTTGATGATTACTTTAATTAATTTCAAACTTGAACGGCTAAAAACAATTAATCCCACCATATAATTGTGGGCATTATATTCGGTGGAGAGCTGTGCCCCCACACTAATCTCATCAATGACTGCTCTGCTGCGGGACCATAATTAATTAAACACTAACCATAAGTACTTGTGCTTAAAAAGATATAAATGGAGTTAAGAATAAGCATGCAATAGAAGGCAAGGTTTGCTATCTATCTACCACAATATTCATGTTGTCTTAATTGCTTTTGCATTATTTTAGGTTTATCATGTTTTATGGGTGACCTAACTACTCATCACTCTCATCAGCATCGCCGACAAAGCAATATTATTGAAAGTGCTTATTGTACATGTACAGAAAAGCAGGTCCCACAACACACATACTCCACATCAACTTTCTAGTTAAGCAAAGATCCGGATTCTTGTTGATGAATCATATTCTCGTGGCACCATTATAACTCTTTTGAATTGAGTCGAAGAAGTAGTCTCCCATGGTGCATGCCTTCTACCTACTTTTTTCTTTCTTTCTTCTTTTTGCCCTTTTTCTTTTCCTTTCTCGCAAACCAAACAAAGAAAAACAGAGATTAGCTGCAAGTAGCCAACACTAATTATGCAATGCTAGCTATAGATAGTGCACATCTCTTTCTAGCTAATCTCTGCCCAATTTATAAGCACCCACCCATCTAACTATTCTATCCACCCATTCTGAATAAATAAAAGTTAGAATGCATGTCCATTTCTCTGTAGCCAGTTGAAGCAGGCATGGAGTGGGAGACAGTTCATGTGGTCTGTTAAAAAAGGAACTTATAATTAATATCTAATCATGGCCTTCTCATTTAATTATTTCTTTTTCTAGACGCTTAAAAGCAATCTTTGAATGAGCAAAAACCCATAATAGCTAGCTAATTAATTGGGCTTTTTTAAACAAAATTTCATATTAATTTATGAGAAAAAATCACGGACTAGTTCTGCTGGGACACAACACAAGTAAAGCTAGCATAGCAAAAGTGTGCCCAATAATTGATACATGTAAAGTGGAACCTACAAACGCAAGGAAGCATATAAATGAAAAAGATTAAAGTGGTAGCATAGTTAAAATTGGTACGTTAATGGGTGGCGAAGCACAACCGAATCATCCTCTTGATGTGTTTCCCACTGCCATGGGATCTAGCATAGGAAGCAAGCATATGAAAGAGAGAGAGAGGAGAGAGAGAGAGAGAGAGAGAGAGAGAGAGATTATATGTCCTTGTTTTGTTTGTTATTATAATGGAGATATATGAATAATATGAACAATATATGGTAGTGGGGCTCAAATGGTCAACCTATGTGGAGAGATAGGAGGTACCTTCATAATTTCTCAATGCCCCAGATTCGTTTCCCTACTCATTCTTTCGTTTGATTAATAATCATAGCCACCCACCCACCCACCCAATGCCCCCACAAAAGTCTCATTCCTAATTCTCTCTCTCTTTCTCTCTCTCTCTTCCCCCCTTCATATTATTTACACACCCTTTTGCTCCCACAACTTCAACCATATATATTATACAAATTTATAAATAAACCCAATCCTAGACATGTATTTATAAAAAAACTCAAGCACTATTTAACATAGAAATACACCCAAAATCAACCTCAAAGTCAACTTTTTGGGTGTGTTTATAAATGGGTTTTGAGTGTGTGTAATGATGGGTTTTGGGTGTGTTTATATGTTTAAATAGTACTTGGGTTTTTTTATAATTTCAACACCCATTTTGGGTGTTTTAGTGAAACTCCCTATATATTATCTCTCCAACCCCCATTTCTCACATAACAAACCAATTCCACATCTTCTTCTTCTTCTTCTTCTTCTTCCAAATGGGTTTTGATGATCATCCTTGTAACACAGGCCTTGTCTTAGGGTTAGGTCTCACAACATCGTCCCCCTCAAGAGAGTACTTCTCCACCAAAGGCTCATAATCCATCAAGGTTTGCAAATAAGCCTTCCCCAAATTCTGCTCCCACAAGTGCTACTTTTGAGCCATCTTTAACTTTGGGTCTTCCTGGTGAGCCATATCATCAATTAGTGGCCTCCAATTACAAAGGTGGTGGTAATTCTCATGAGGAAGCAATAGATTTGTATAGGCAAGCTTCCTCACCTCATAGCCATAGCGCGGTCTCTTCCTTCTCTAGTGGTAGAGTGGTCAAAAGAGAGAGAGACCTTAGTAGTGAGGAGGTTGAGGTAGAGAAAGTCTCTTCAAGAGTAAGCGATGAAGATGAAGATGGCTCTAATGCTAGAAAGAAGCTTAGGCTCACCAAGGAACAGTCTGCCCTCTTAGAAGAAAGCTTCAAACAACATAGCACTCTCAACCCCGTAAGTTCTCTCTCTCTCTCTCTCCACGTCATTTTTGTCTATGTTTGGAATCTGATATTTGCCTTTATGAAAACTAATGTCAATTTTGTTGGGTTTAATTACAGAAGCAAAAGCAAGCTTTAGCCAGGCAGTTAAATTTGAGGCCAAGACAAGTGGAAGTATGGTTCCAAAATAGGAGAGCCAGGTAATTAATTACACAGATCATCCTTAATCGTATGCATAATTAAACATAACCTATTATTTACAATTACTATATATAGAAAATAATTAATTAATTATCCCAAAACTAATTAATTTGGGGGGGTTTTTGTTAATTGGCAGGACAAAGCTTAAGCAAACTGAGGTAGATTGTGAGTTCTTGAAGAAGTGCTGCGAGACGCTAACGGATGAGAACCGGAGGCTACAAAAAGAGCTACAAGAACTCAAGGCACTCAAGCTAAGCCAACCTTTGTACATGCATATGCCGGCAGCCACCCTCACTATGTGTCCTTCTTGTGAAAGGATTGGAGGTGTGGGCAGTGAGGGAGCTTCCAAGAGCCCATTTTCAATGGCTCCAAAGCCTCACTTCTATAATCACTTCACCAATCCCTCAGCAGCTTGTTAATTAATTAGGCTACCACTAATTAATTACTGCTGTATTATTAGGATTAGATGATAAGCGAAGGAGAAATTAAACCCTCATGACCCCTATATTTTTTTTTGGTTCAGGGCTTTGTAGTGAATGAAAGACTAGCTAGCTAGTGTAATTAATTTGTAGAAAAAAAAAGTTTATTACTGATCAATTACTTTTTTTTTTTTTTTTTTTTTTTTTTTTTTTTTTTTCAAATATAAATATTATAATTAAATCGTCAAGAATTATATCTATGAAGGGATTACTATTATTTTATTTATTTTTGGATTAATCTGTCTTTTGTTAATTTCTGTTCTTGGAGTTGATTTTTGTACAAAGCGTGCATAGCTTACGTATTATAAGAGGCTGATAATTTCAGATGCAGACAAGTTGAACAAACTCGTGCATGACTTCATGAAGAAGTTGAAGTGAAAGATGTTGCCATGGATATATGTACGAAATTAAACCTCCCTTAATCTGTTGTACGTGTCACAAAGTTCTTGTAAGTAAATATTAGATGGGACAGAAATCTGGAACTGAATACAAAATTTATATGTTCAATAAAAACCAAACAATATAAGACGGAAGTATCAATTCTTGGTCTTAGGCAAAAGGTTACAGTAAACGTGAGACGCGTGAAATCATCTGCATTCACACGTATCAAATAAATTCGAATAATGCTACATCACTCATGAGGATTCGATTTGAAGAAGTGTAAATTTACAGTTGAGTCTTGTATATAAACCATCCATCCAAGTTAACTATTATGTCACTTTGACTGATCATTTCCCCACCTAAAAGCAAAAGATTTCTATATATAAATGTGACCATGTCACTTTCATAAAATGTTAAAAAGCAATGATGCAGCATTAGACATCAAACAAATGAAAATTGGTAATTAATTTAGGATCTGGATAAGATATTTTTAAAGGTCATCACTGAAACCATGAGATATTTGACCTAAAGAAAGAAAGAATTAATATTGGAGATGATGATTACATAAGAAGTAAGTGTGGGGTTAAGGGGTGGGACGTTAGCTCACATGTATCTGTCTGTAATTCAGTTGCTTAGAGACAGATAGAAGAAGGTGAGGGTCTACAAAAATGGGTGGTGAGAAGCGTGCAAAGAAAGAAAGGAATGGATGATCACTCAAAAAATAAAAAAATAAAAAAAACTTGAGGATTGTGGTCACGTGACATGCTACGCCTTTACTAGGACCAGTAGGGCCACAACCCACGTGATATGCCAATGGGTCTCTTCACTTCTTTTCCTTCACAAAATCTTATCATGAGAGATTTTGTATCAAAGTCAGACTCTTCTTCTACTTCGTCTTCCCATTTGATGGATGGACCCCAACCCACCTTTGCCTTCCCATGGCTTAAAATTCCTAAAACCCCATATATGTATTCTACCTTTTTCAATAATGGAAGGATCAAATGGACGGTCCAGATTGATTAGGGCAAAGGAAAAAACATTACATATGTTTACGTTATAGGCACGCTATGATGAATGATGAGAAAGGTATTTCTAAAACAAGTCCACACATCACTCATAATGGATGGTGTGGAGTGTGGACCAATTAAATCATGAGGGGAACTTTCCAGGAAAAGAGTGCACTTTCCGGGAAAACTCCTTTGTCTTATGGGCTCTCATCATCACTTTCATCACCCATTTTTTTCTGTCACAATCATCACCATCCATCTGCGAACCCTTCAACTCCCTCCCCCCCCTTGAATTCCAAAGTTGAATTATTTTAGCTTTGATTGGTAAAGAGTGTGAAAGCTTTATGCCTGTTATACAACAACTATATACATATATATATTTATATTTGTTAGTTTTTCATAGTTTCTTTTTGCTACTTTAAGAGAGATTTTTGGTTGTTAATGCTATTTTTAGGAGGATTGCTTGTTTTTGTTGTCGACTATGTGGGGGATGGTGAGGGGACATCCTTTGTTTAAGAGAAAATCATAATCAAATTATTTCAAAGGGCAAAACCAGTAGGGTCATTTGCTTTATAAAAGCTTTGGGTGTTTTAATATTTTCTCTAATTATAGATTCAATCTACGTGTGCACATACGTAAGTTAATAAAGAAATGGACCTGAAAACACATGTCTTGTATTGGATGCATTGTCGGCCCGTGGAGTTTATATAAGGATTTGTTCAACTTGATTTTTAGAATTACCTAACTTTACAAAATTCTACATCACTTACGCAAGTTTAAGTTAAATTAATCTTCCAATTTGTTTTTATTTGGATTGGTTATTTCGGAGGTGTTTTTTTTTCTTTGTAAAATGTGTTGGCTATAAGTTTTCGTAACGCGGTTAGTCTTGATGAGAAATGAATGAGGCGTGAAATAAGTTAGAGGTCTTCAAAAGTGAATCATCACGCGGCATCATTTGATGACATCTTGGATGAAATTGTTAAAAATATGATAGTGGGATGAATTGACCGGCTTTATATAGTTCATAGGAGAAATTTGGCTGGAAAAAAAAATTAGGGAATAAATTGACACTATCAATATAATTCAGGGCGCGCAAAACCTCATGTTACTGTAATCTAAAACGAAGGGTCCTAAATAACATGTTCATGATTCAAGTCAAAGAGCTCAAATTTTTGGAGCAAACACTTCACTCAACTTTTGTTTTTTCTATCATTTAAAAAAAAAAAAAAAAGAGTCTAATAATGCTTCATGTTGAATAAAATCACATTCAATAGTAAATAACCAAATTTAAGTATAAATAAATATAGATCAAATTCTACCCAAAAAAACCATCCCAAATTCTATGAACTTTGATGTATATGAAATAAAAATGTTTTTTTTTTGTTGTTGGGAATTTGCAATTTCGTGGTTGATTTCTTTGTAGAAAAAAATAATGTTACTGCAAAATTAAATTAACAAAAAAACATGGAGACTAAATAATTGTTTAAAAACGAACAATGATGAGGTCTCAAATGTTGAGAGTGGAGGCAAACAGTTGTTTGAGACCTCATGTATTTGTGAATAGTTGTACTTGGGATCTCAAAATTTATATACTCCTGCACTGTTAAATCATTCATCCTTGAAAGCAACTGAGCTGATTTTTATATTATATTATATTAAAAACAAAAAAAAGAAATTAAAATTCAAACTTGAGTATGGGTACGTATATATGTAAAGGAAACATAATACGTATGGGATGGTGCCCCCCCATCTCATATGACTCAGTCAGCAGTAAGGAGAAGAAAAATAAGCAAAACATGTCCATCAATCATGATGATATTCATGGGCAGCTTGTGACTGTATAGCTACCAAGTACACGCGTGAGTCAGAACAATATGCCACATAAATACATTAACGTACCTAAATTTCAAACACACAAGTATAGAGACTTTGTTTGGTTTGATTTGGGTTGATTTGGCTCCTCAGTCTGAAGACAGGAACATATGTAGGTTTGACTAGGACTGCTTGTTGCTTGTTGTAGGTACTATAGCTTACGATTATTATAGGGTTTGGAAAATGTTTCATTTATGGATAACCAGAATGGGTGCTGTTCTAATACGTGGAAGCCGACCTAGTTGTCATCTCATCTTAAATAATTGAGGGCTAAATGAAACACCTAGACTAGTGCCGAACATAATTAAATAAGACGGCTTATTGGTTGCTATCTTGTGTTAAATTTGTTATAAATCATTGTTCGAGCGTTAATGACTTGAGACCATTGTTATCCGAAATGGGTATTAGAATAGTTCCGATTTCTAACTCTAGTATCCCATTCTCAATCCTTCTTTGTCATATTCGTGACTTCTTCAATTGATGAATGGTTCATATATCCTGCTCCTAATATACTCAAGGACAATTACTATTAGAAAATAAAAACGAATAAAGGCTCTCTGCAAAGAAAGTTAAAGAAGTCGAGATTTGGAGGTTTTTAAAGAAGTATTCGACTGAGATTTGGTTTACGATCCACCGCCCAAAGGTTCACCGATTGGAAATACAACAGGCCAACAGGATCTTTCGAAAGTTCAGATATATAAAGTTCTATATGTTGCAATATGGTTAGCAGAAGCTAAACCTTTATGGATGGAAGTGCTTTCTTTGTCTTTCTTTTTAAACTTTTACAAATTCTTTTAGACTATGATTTATTTATTCTCACTTACTTTTTTTTTTTTTTTTTTTTTTTTTTTTTTGAATTGTTTGTTTGTTTGTTTTTTTTTTGTTATTGGTTATAGCATGTTTTATTTATACTATGCATGATTATTCGTTTATAGCTTTTTATACTTTATGAATGAGTTAATTACCTCTAATGCGTTTTGTTTGATTTAGGTATAATTTTGTACGACACGTCATGAACATTATTTTTTTGGTCGAAGACATCAACGTGATTGAACACAACATGTTTCCGTATCAATAACCAAACCCTCCTACACAAATGCCCTACCGTCTACCAAAGAAGAAAAAAAAAAATTTGTTGACAGTTGAAGAAAAATATAATTAAAAAGAGACTGGTAAAATGGATGTGAAAATAAAATTGAAAAATTACCCATTTAATTTATTAGCTAAACAATTGATCTTTTGTTAACGGGAGTGGAAAGGGTCTTGACTTGCAGATCAATGGTCTCAGATTCGAATTCCCATGACACCTTGGCAGTGTGTGTGAAAAAATTCTCATCCCTCAATATCGCTTGTATTTTTTATATTAAAAAAAACTGATCTTTTTGTAGATGAGGACCAAACAATAAATCATGGGATGAATTTGTGAGATGAGCTCAAAAGAGGGTTTAGTGCTTTCTGAAAGGGTTTAGTACCTTCTGAATGAATACTGGTTAAATACTTGAGCCACTCTCTAGACTCAAATACTCCATAAAATTCTTGGTTTGTTGAGAGAAATTTGGCTCCTGCAGGAAGAAATTAGCCAAGCTCTCTTTTTTATTTTTTTTTATTTTTAGGTGTTCAAAAGTAAAAAGTTTAAGTTCAAGGGTAATGATGCATATGTGTAAAAATTCAAGTGGTATTTAAGTAAATTTTTAATTTTTTTTTCTTCGCTACAACGGGCCTAGCTCAATAGCCCAGTCAGAAGCCTGAAATCATTTTGGTTAATGGGTAAGGCCTGGGCCCGATCATTCGTATGAAAATGGTCCAAGGATGCAGCAGTTCTTGCAATGCTACCATTTCCTAATCCACGGTGCCTGCCTACAGTCTGTTCTTGAGTTTTTTTTTCTCTCCGAATCAAATGGTACTTCTTCTTCTGCTTTATTTCTCTTTTGGTGGCTGGTTGTATCTGCAAGTAAAGATAAAGATAAAGCGCACCAACTGTTTGCTAAAATTCCCCCATGTTTATGTACTGTGATGCGCCTTCTCGGTTGTAATAATTTTTTTTATTTTTAGAGAACTGAAGCTTTTGTTTTAGTTCATGAACTAAGAAATCCAAAATTAAGCTCATGTGTTCATCCATTGGAGCCAATATCCAGTATAATTATAATTATATATGTTATACTGTATATGTCTCTGAGTTTATCTATGTATGCATCATCCAAACTGTTCTTGAGCGCAGGAATGTGCTGAGCAGAGGAGATGCAGAGAGATGGCCGAAGCGTCTACCTTTTACCGTGCAGTGTACTCAGAGGTGACTTGGACAGTCATTTGAACCCATTATCTTTTGCCACACAAACACCAATTTCCTGGAACTAAGTATCATTTTATACTGCAGGGTTATCACATCTGGTCTAGCATTTTTAAGTATTTATGTTTTAAATGTTTCAGGAGTCTAAAATATTATGGGTGCTAAATGCTCATTCTAAGGACCAAAAGTAAATTTTAAAATGTTTTTGGGTTAGTGAAAATCTATGCATTTGAACTCATGGATCGTTCACCACAGCTATTTTGTGTAAAATAATTTATTTTCAGTTGAGTACAAATTCTATGAATCCCCATTGTGAAGGGCTCACCTTTCCTTCCTGAACAAGGCTGGGTTCGGAGAGGCCAGCTACACACTATTGCTTCAATTGTTATTTCCTTTAATTCACTCATGATTTTATTTCCCGTTGAAATTAGGAAAACGCCGGAGGTATGAATAAGAACCTGTTTAAGATTCTGAATGCAGCAGTTGCTAATTATTTCCTCACATGAATCTGTATCTTGATGCTCTAACACTATACAAGCAACTAATGTGAAGGCTCATACAATTGTTTCAGTATACGATTAAAAGCATTTGTGAAAGTTGTTAGTTATTAATGTCTTTGGATTTTCTATGACATTTGGTAACATAAGAACCTTCATTGCCGCTTATCATTGACTTGATCATCATGTGAATGTAGATAGAGGAGGTTGGATGGGAGCATCTGGTGAGGTTCGGTGGAGATCTAACATCTCTCAGCTTTCGGATCTTGTAAGATATTCTTGTTCCCATTCAGTATCCAATCACTATTGTTTTCTTATTCATTTTGCATTTAATAAAAAGGAAAAAGAATTCTTTGGTTCTTCGAATATGCCGAGAATTTCTCTACACGGGCCAAGGATTCTGGTTTTTTGAGTGCCAGATTAGTTATAGTGATTTCAATATAAGAAGGAAGTGGAGATATTTAGTTTTGAGAAATGAAATAGTGCTGCCAAACATCTTTTGTCTTGTGTCCGAATAAATATTTAATGCTGTAAACATGTTATGCAATTATCAACTTATTAAAAGTTTCAAGATTGTATTTGTGTCGTGGACTAGCAATGTGGTTAGTGTGAAGTAGAGTAAACATGCTTTATCTGAAGGCAAGTGTTGTGTTGGATATTATTTCTTGGGTTGCCGAGTTCTATTTTTTGGTCAAAGGGTTACTGAGTTCAGAACTGTGTTTTTCTTAATCCTTAATTCACATCAGTAGATTAAATTTTATATATCAAGGAAGTACTAAGGAAATTCTAAAATGTTTATCCTGGGTGCTTGTGGAGTATTAAACCCTAAAGTTATGATAAGAAAAGTTTAATTTTCCAAGAATCAGATTTGAACTTCTAACACTTTTCAGAGTAGATCGTTTAATACAATAGTGTTATCTTAGGTTATCCTCGGAATTTTCTTTTAACACCATGTTGTTTAGCAAAAAAATCTTCCTGAACATTTAGGCTGTTGTTGCAATTAGTTGTTTGGTAAAATTTCCTTTTTTGGCCATGCATCATGAGTTTCTGCCATTCTTCATTTTTTTATAAACTTTTTGGCATTCATTTCTACCATTTTGCACATGTTTATACTGTCTTAATCATGTAGTGGGCTCAATCTTTTGTAAATCTGATTACCAGAGATGGCAAGGGGAGAATGCATATTATTGAGATTCAATTGGATAAAACCCATCCTAAATGCCCTCCTTCAATGTCAGCAGTATGTCTTCTCTAATCTTTTGCATTGTTAAGTTTTCCATTTGAGGCATAAATAAGATTTAAGTTTGTTTCTCAGGATGTACCATATATGTTTGATTTAAAATGGTCAACACACTCAAGATTGAAAGATGTGGTGCAGCAGTTTAAAAAGGTATTCATTTTTTTTCCCTTCAAAATACATTTGAGAGATGTTGCATTAGTTGATTCTAGTTGCCACTTATAGACTTCATCTATCTTAATTGTCAAGTTGTTTTCTTGTGTTCTTATCTTTGCTAAAAGCTATCAATAACTTATTCTTGTATCCAGCATCTGGAGAAGCTTCAGGCATTTTGGTCTACTTTGGATGATATTGACAGGTCCCTTTGGGTTGTTGATCCTAAACAAGCATCTCCTGCCGTATCCTATCGCCAGATCAATATGGGTGAAGCATCTTCTTCATAAGTGTTGATAACTCTTCTCCCTTCTGTTTGTCAGTGTTAAGTCTTTTGAGGTTTTTGTTTCACAGGAAATGATTGTTTCATCATGTTGTCTATTAATGCCTTTGATCCTAGATCTTTACCAGAGTGAGATTCCATCTCAAATAAGTGACTAGAGCTACTACCTTCTAGCTTTTGCTCTTCATTCAATGTGAATATCAAGTTGTGTCAGATGTCGTTTTATTGGTTCAGGTCCAATTGTGAACTTGTTGAGAAATAGATGGCGAAGAAATAGCAAAAGATGGTATAACATTCCATCCCTTCCTTGTATTTCAATCTGTATTTTTTGGTACTTGTATTTAAAAGTAATCTAAATAGGAATTTTCTGGCTGTGTTACTGCCAAATCATCTTTTTTCATGAATATATTTGTCTATTTGTACGCTTAATTTTGATGACACCTGGCTTTTCTTTAATGAACTCTACATCAACCTCGGTTAAAGGTTGGGAATCAGAAATAAAATTTCTAGAATAGGGATAAGTTTGTTATGGGGAGAGAGAGAGAGAGAGAGAGAGAGAGAGAGAAGGACTGAGTGATATAAGTATATCTTTTGTGTGATTGCACAGGATAAAAGACAAACAATTTCTAGAAAATCTTAAATGTCTTTTGGAGACTCAACTGCCAATTCCCCCTGATGTCCAGAAGAATGAGCAGCAAGTTGAATGCGGAATTTGTTATGCTCAGAGTCTTCCAATTGGTAATCCTCTACATGCATTCTTAGATGTTTACCAAGTTTTTCAGTCATTGATTTAGCAGTGTAAATGTAGATGAAGAGCTCAGACATAAGAGTGGAACTGGGACTGACTATACATGCGACAATACCAGTTGCGAAAGGGCTTTCCATAGCATATGTCTTGTGGACTGGTTGCGTTCTATCACCACAACAAGGCAGTATGTTAAGTTTCTTGTATCACAGTTAACTTCTGCTGGTTTATGCATGAATGTAGCCTTAGTTGTCTTTTGTAATATTTTGTAACAGAAACTGTGGGTTGAGATTAATATGGCATATTTCAAGTTCAATAATGTAGTGTGCATTTTAACTATAATATGATAAAAAAGATTACGTGCACTTCTCCAATTGAAATCTTTTATTAAAGCATTTCACTAGGAGGCACAGCAATTATATACAAGCAGAAAATGGGAACTATCAGGACCACAACAATTCTTTTAATCATCAGAAAAGTTTGACGTTAAGAATTATTTGGGCCGCATCTGTCGGCCATGTGAATGCATAACCTACAGTGGTAAACGTAGGCTTCCTTTTATGGATACTTGAGGTATGATATTTATGTGTACTTTCATTACAGGTCATTTGATGTTCTATTTGGAAGTTGTCCATACTGTTCAGAACCAGTTGCGGTGAAAATCGACAGCATGAAGAAGTAAGCTAGGTCTTCTATACCTTCTAATAATTTGATTTCCTCATTTCTTATGCACATCCTTGAAGTCCAAAGACTGTTAATTCTTTATGGTAAATTTGTACCACTGTGGAAATGTGAAGACCAGAACTCGGAAAGTTGTATTTTACTTTATATATATCGAACAAGATGACTTATCAAATGCTAAATAGTTGTTTTCTATGCATAATACGCTGTCTAAACCTTATCCATTGTGCATGTTCACTTGAAACCAAAATAGTAACTTTACTTACCCTCTACACCAAATGAACATTTTTCTTTTTGTTTGGTTGCCAAAGCATTCATATATTGTCGGCTGTTTGTATATGCCTTGTGTCTAAGCACCTTTAAATTGATACCAACAGGTAGACCATCAGGTTGCTCCTCTATGGAATGCAGCAAACCATGTTCTGTTGAGGTACATTTGCACTATTCTTCTTGTGGTGGTCCTAATCCATGCTACTAGTACTAACCAACCAAGTCAGAGAAGATGTGCCATTCCAAACAAACTTTTTAATCCCTCAATTATCAATCATCACAGAATGGCCCCTCATTTTAATGCCCCTTATCGATCCGGTTGGGATTTGGGGTCCCTTGTTATTTAGGCCTCCCCACATCATTATGAAAATGTTGCAATTTCTTTGGATTCAACATATACAACCAGTTGTAGGCAAGAAAAATTCAGCGACCTATTGATTGTTTGCTTGCGGGTTCCACACTTTATGTTATAAGAGCTCGATGCAGTTGGATGCTTTGCCCTACTGTTTTCGATTTGTCAATTTTGCTTTCTTCATGTTGGATTTGAACTTTTTTTGTTGATTGACCATATAGAGATCACCCAAATGGATATTAGTGGATTATTCATTGTTGTTAGTATTCAGCTTCTAATGGCCCAATGGTTGGAGTGACATGTTTTGGAGTCATGCGTGCATGCAACGACTGACTCTGACCCTTACTCACCATGGGACCATCTTTGTGGTATTTATGGCTTTTGCTAGCTAGCTAATGAGCCCCACTTGAAGAACCATTTCACTATTTCAGGGACGAATAGGTCATGCACTTACTCTCCTTAGAACGTTAAAGCTATAAAGAATGCTACGGTGAGACGATTAAGCTCCAAATGCACTGACTATTAATGTATATGGAACTCTCAATACATTAACGGTCATGATCATCACACTGCACCACTGAGCTCGACACTGCTCTAAAGATATCTAGAGAACAAACGAAGTATACATCATAGGACCATATGTTACATACTTAGTTCAGCTCAGTCTGGCACAGTAGTACTACTAAATAAAATCAACCTCTGTTTGTTTCCACAATTTCTTTCTTGGCTCGTGTCAGAAGGGACCAAATGTCGTCCTTCAACAGTTGAAAATAAGCACAGATTTTTTATTCACATTTGAAAACTGATAATAGATTTAAAAGACATATCCTTTTCACAATAACGCAGGAGCCTTATTGGTACAATAATGCCAGCTGGGTACACAGACACGTACAACCACAAGTAGAAATTGACATTTGCTCACTTCTAAAAGACTTGGACTTCATCCACTTATACATACACACAAGATTTTTCCATATTCCCTAACACATAAATGTACGTACCACCGACATGGATTGTTTGGTATAATTGGCTCTGACTTAGAACCCCGCGAGACACTCCGGTGGGGCTACCGGGTACCGGGATTTATCGGTGCAGTAATCGTAGATCATGTGGTTGATACGAACCCACCTGTATCTTCTATATTCAAGGGCATTGAGAGCTTGGTAGGCAGTCCCTTCCCACCAGTTAGTGGCGCTTGAGGCACAGTTGGCTGGTCCTGGCACAGAGCACCCCTCAATATCAAAATCCCTGTAGTAAGAATAGAAAGGAGCTTTGCTCCAGTTTATCTTCTCAAGCCCTCCTCTTGTAGCCCAATCATCAGCTTCCCACAATGTTGAAAAGACCCCCATGGGTTGGAGCTTGGGGTATGGAACTCCTCTGGCTTCATTGTTCTTGTACACCCTTATAGGCACCTCATCCACATAGAAACTGCACCACCAACAATCACATTGACACCAAATTAGCCCAAATTCAAAACAGTTATTATAAAAAACCCAATATTATTATGTCTAGTGGAGTAATTTTCTCTTGCCATACTGTGATAGATGAGACGTCTGACCAGTCTAACAACATGTCCGAAAGATAAAATATTGTTCATGGTTAATGGTCTAGTTAGCTTACACAATATGGTGATGGTTCCAGAGTATTGTGTAAGTGTGGAAATCTGCAGAAGGGTCAAACCAGAGGTTGACCCTTTGCTCCCTATTACCCTTCCCATGAGCATATATATTGGTTTGGACTGTATAAGGCTGCCCAGTCCGGTTCCCCAAGAACTCAAAGTCTAACTCATCACGCACTGCGTCTGTGTCTGAGTTCATCTGCCAAACAAAAACCAATCCAAAGAAAATATTAATTCCCAAAAGACCAAGAAACCCAAATATTCATTTTGGGTTTTTTAAGTCTGTGAAGTTACATAGAAAGCAGTGACAGTTCCAGCAGAATCTCCAGGGATGAGCTTGATCTTCATGCTCACACGCCCAAACAAGTACTTGCGTTTGGAGGCAAACCCACATCCTGAAATGCATCAAATTTAACAGCCAAATCTCAAATGTTAGAATTTAGAAACCACTCATTGTTTTGTCATGCTTTGTGAGGACAGCCCAATTGAACCAAACTTCTTTTTTTAAACCATTACTAAATATAATAAGTCGACCCCACGATTTTATATACATATATTTACCAGAATTTTGGTCAAGAATAAGTTGGATGGCCCTCCCTCCATCGATTTGCCTGATGTGAGAATCAGACCATGTGACTTGGAAATCTTGCAGAAAAGTGGCTGGTCGTCCAAAAGCTGAGAGAGAAAAAGCAAGAAAACAAAAGCAGAGAGAAGCAATGAGGCTTCTCAAAGAGGGGTATAGGGCCATAATAATTTGTAGCACAAAATCAGACTACTTTGTGATTAAAAGGAATTAATAATATGCATGAGATTTTAGATGATGAGAGCCTTGTTGTGGGCTGTTCTATATATATACACACACACACACACACACACAGAGTTGGGAGACTGATGAAAGATTAGAGATTACGACTGTTGCTTCCTATTGGAAAGTTCCATCACAACTTTGCTTTCCATCCAGCTAATGGCAAGCTTTCAGCTAGGCCCTACCCAACAGTTTGTATTCTTCTTTCGCGCTTCTTCTTTCTTAATCTCCCCTCTTTAATTAAATATGATCCTTTTCTTCATCTTATTAATCTTTCTACTACTACAGAAATTATATTCCACTTGGACTAACTATTGTGTGGGGTGGCATACTCTGTAGCGATCCTACCTTACTGTTTTTTTGTTCGCTACAATGAAGAGAATCGAACTCTTGACATAGTAGAATCTTATTAACTCTACTATTTGATCTAAATGAGACTTGTACATGAATTAATTGTTATATCATTCTAAGGAAAGTTAACAACATAAACTAGTTAACCTAGCTAGTCTTTATACTCTCACAAATAAAATCAGGAAATAGCATCGACGATTACCTACGTGGTTGGTATGCGTCGACATATGATTATCATCGATAAGTGTTAACTTGCAGATTATTTGTTTGGTATTGTGATAGTTCTGCAATTTGATTATGCAAATGCATCCAAATAATAGCGTGAACCTTACGAGTTTGTGTGGATGCAAATGGTGCCAAACTCATTCATCCATGCCATGACATTCCAAAAGAGTAGTAAGGTTGGTGATTGTGATTTTACAGTACCATGGAATGTGTGGGATATTGGTATGAATTTTACTTGCACCAAACTCCAGAAGACATAGAGGCCATCGGGCCATCACTGTTGAGTGTATGGCAAAGTAGCCGTCAGTCAACTATCCCTGAACTTAAAGCCATCCAATCAAAATTCATCCTTTTTATATGTATATATATCAGCCTATATATAATACAGCCAATACAAATTGATTGCTTACTGGCCAGTAGTTCAAGCATGGACTGGACCCAATGATGTGGCCCTCACTTTACAGGCTGGGATTTTTGTTATTATTAAACACCATTTTAATTGGTTATTGTTTGTTTTTCATGGTATTTCCAAACTTGTTCATATTATTGGAGATAATATTTTGTCGTTCAAAGCTAAAACTCTCAAACGTTTGTCATCATATAGCTGTGATGATTTTTAGCTTCAATAATGAAGACTTTGCAACCCTATGAGAAGTGCTAAGATCAATCGCACACTCCACATGTTTTAATCTTTGATTGTTGATACATGTAGAATTTAGAGTGAATTAATGATTAGAATTAACTCACGCTAGCTTGTATCAGCTATTGTATCATTCTTCTTAACACTATACTTATAATTATGATAATTTTTAGCTTTAATGATAAAGCATTTAAATTCTAGAAGAAGAACTTACGTCATTTTTGCGTACATGTCTATATTAGTCTTGATCATTAATACATGTAAAACTCAAAATGTATCAACAATCACAATTAGTATGCGCTAGTGTACTTTTAACAGGAGTTTCTAAATCAAAACAAAGCAAATCATATCAAATTTATCTCTTTCAGGAAGAATTCTAACACTCCACCCTACGCAATAGAAGAACTTACTAAAGCTAGTTGGCACTTGCACAAAATGGACAACTGGCTTCATAGTGCACAATTGCGACCCTGGAGATTTCATTGACACGTGGCGGATCCAAGGCCAACCACGTTGTTGTCGGCCTCGGGATTATATTTGGTGTCAGAGTAGAAATGAAAGCTTTAGAAATGTGGGACCCAACAGAGACCGACGTATATGAGTGTAAGGATAACTGTGTCACTACAAGACAAATGAATCACTTTTCCTCTTGCAGCCTTTATTGGGGTCCAACATCAAAGTTCCTAGCTTATTATATGTTTATTTTGGCTTTTGGGATTTAATTTGAGCAAATTTAAATGAAAAAAGAAAAAGAAAAAAGAGTTTTGGAATCTAATACTTTTCTTTTATATCACATCAATTCAGTCAAAATAATTCAAAATTAACATATATAGGTTGCAACAATTAAAATATCTCATTTATAGCTTACTAGGGTTGGTTAAGTTGGTAAATATCGTTCTTTTCACTATCAAGGCCTAAGTTTGAGTCTAGCTGCCAACAATTCATTTTTGTGGGTAATCTGTAAAAATCAAAAAGGAGCTAAGATCCCCTCTGTAAATCCTCAAAGAGGCCTTGGTATACCATGACCCTAGGATGAGGTAACCTCCCATCCCTCTACACTTTTTTTCATTAAAAAAAAAAAAAAAAATCGAATATAGTTTTTCAATAAATTAATTTATCGCTATTAGAGCACTTCCACCCCTATGGCTAATGGCAAGGTAGGGGTTGTTACTATTCACATAAATAATGGCAACCATTGCAATTTTGTTTCCACCCCTATGGGTTAGAGAAAGGGCAATTACCATTCACATGAGATATGAGGAGCTAAATTTGTATAGAGTTTTTGGTGTGGAAAGTAAAGAATATGACTAGGTATTTATATAATAAAAAAATTCTGAAATTTTTGGTATTTTTTCCAATTCTTTATTGTTGTTGTTGATGTCATAATGACGTTAGCATTTTGTCATTTTAGCCAAGCAGCAGCTTGAGCTTCTCTTGCCCGTGGGTTTGCCAGGCTTGTGGGACCCACCCCTTGCCCAGGCTGAACTTGGTGCGGTGGAGTTGGATTTTGGCCCTTACACCCCCTCCTGCTCGGGTAAAACCCGAGCGGTGGAAGTGCTCTCATGAGTTTATCTAAAAATTACATTCAAAACGAAATTGTAATCTCCATTTCCTGATAAAAGTAAGAATTGTAGAGAACATAGTTTGAGGAGAATGTTGATGAGACAACACAATAAGCTGAAAAATCTCTATAATTGGTTATTATATATGGTAGACCATATTATTCTTCAATTCAGAATGGGTTACTTCAAATTTCAATAAATTTTGGGTTTTATATTACTTACAAAAATTGAAAGCACCAGTCATGATAGTTTTCAAAATAGTCTTATTTTGATTTTTTTTTTAATTTTAAAAAATGATTTCCTATTTTCTAGTATCAATGGTTTATATATTTATTTAGTGAATGAAGTTTCAATTCCAGGGGCTTTGTTTGATTCAGGTTTGACTAGAGGTCTTTTTTTTTCCTTTTTTTTTCGGGGTTCATTTGGGCCCAGTTAACCGGCCCGCTCTAATATTATATTAAGATTTCAGAGAAACAAACCCACAACCTACTACTAACAACATCGTAACTGTCTGCAACTTAACAACTTGGATATTCGACATGTGTGGAGTTTTATACAAAAGGTCTAGATGTCAATAGTAATGAAACCGTTCACTATATATATTTGATCAAGTTTCTAATATGGGGCTTCATATTCTTCAACAGAATTAACATATATTACAAATAATATTTTTTAGAATTTAATGTTGTTGACAAAATAAAATTTATAAAAAAAAAACAAAACAAAAACAGAATCCCGAGGTGTTCATGTTGTATCAGAAGGAATGAGCGGTAGAGCTGCAGCAATTAATTCCTCATCTGCCAAATATCAAATTCAGCAGAAGCTTTATTTGGAGTAGAACATAGTTTATTGTATAGGCTGAGGCTGGACTGCAATCAATATATGTACAAGATCTAAAAGAGAGATCTCAAAACTCTCAATTTTAATAAACATCTAGCCAGTGCATGAGCTTGAACTAACTTGATGGTTAACGATTCTTTCAAAATTGAGTTGTACAATTAGCCCACAATTGGATGTTCGCCCATTGAAAATATTTTAGCAGAAAAAACTAACTTTCTCGAACCCTAATATTATTGGTTTTTTTCTTTGTACTTATATATAAATAATTTAACTTATGAACTCAGATTTATCATTTATTATATTATGAACTCAGATTTATCATTTATATTTCATCTCATGTCGCTTGAATTAAAGTTCAAAACCTAATAAAATCGATAATAATTCCACCGACGACGGAAAAAAAAGGGTTTGTTTGTGCACCATGAGTTGTACAAATTACAAATATACTTGCCGTAATTTTGACACCTTAAAAAATCATAAGGATATGGTTTCTCAACTCTCAAGTCCTAGAATATTATGTTGAGCGTGTGTTTACCAGAATTATAGATGATCGTTTTCCAAAAGTAGCTGTCAACCTTATCACTTATAAACAAAATATTAGATGTATCTCATGCCTTCACAAGATGAAGATTAACCTTTTGAATTTTGATGGTGCTATCTTAATTAATTTCCATATGAAGTGCAGCAGAGTTGGTATGCCCCTCGTGCATTCAAGCAACTAGGACCTACTTTCAAACTCTTGAAAATGAAATGCAATAATGAAAAAGAGGATCCAGAACATGTATACCACGCTAATTTGTTCACTAGTTTACATTTACACCAACAAAACAAAAGTGAGAGATGCCTTAAGAGATGTTAGGAATAGTCGTCCATACACTAATGGATGTCAGCCCTTAATTCCAATGAATCTCATAAGGCATTAATGGTTGAAAATCATCTACGTGCAAGCGATTAAAATACAAATAAACTGAGAAAGACTCTTCTGAGACATGATTATGGTCCTTTTCAATGTGTAGAACAAGAACACTATGGGCCACGACCTCTTGGGCTATCTAATAATTGTGGGCTGTCAGATTGTTGACATTTCACCTATGCTGATGCATGAAAGATGATTGGTCTATGATGGAAGAGTGTATTAATTTGCCGAGTCTTGTAAGATGAGCTTGTAACTAAGTAGAGTATTAAAGTGATTGTTTTGTGATGTAGTTTAAGCTAAGTGAAGTGAGCAAGATTGATTTAGTCAAATCTACGCTAGGTAGCGTGTGAGTTTGCATTAAGCACGCCTTATCCACTCGGGTTCATAGGGTCCTCATAACAGAAAGAGG